TTACAACTGACCGACCTTGACCCAGTCTCCAGAAAGTACGTACATGTATAATAACAAGAAACCGACCGAGATTACACCAGACCGACTTTGACCCAGTTTTTAGTCGACAGTACGTATATTAGCCTAACACCGCCCATCTGATCATCCTCGATATCCAGGGGCTACGCTCACTTTCACTCTCTACACACCTGGAATATGTCATAGCAAAATTGAAGGGTCGGTGTGCGCCACCTTGATGAGACAAAGATTAGTTCGATCCTTTTATGTACATCAAACGAATCTCGCGGTCACGTAACGGTAAAAATGTACAGGCTTTGAAGTCGGGCGTCTCTCCTTTGTAATCTTCAAAGGACATGTATCAGCCTAGCGATTGGTAAGTTTTTTTTACCCGAGACCAATCAAACAGCTTGCTGCATGCCTTCAATTTTGCTATGACATATGCCAGTAGTGCAGAGAGCGAAAATGAGCGTAACTCCTGGATATCGAGGATGCAGTCTGTTGGACTCCCGAGATTATCAGCACGTTACATATCAATAAATTAATCTGACCGACTTTGACCCAGCCTCATAACCACAAATACTCGATATATAATCCACATGATTATCTCCTCGGCAACATTAAGTTTGTATAACGTATTCACTTTTTCTGTATATAGGATTAAGTATCGGGTTGAAAATTGATCAACCACACCGTAATTTTTCTTTGCTTTCTATTTTGATAAATACTTAAAAGGAAGGGTTGAAGGTAACTGCTGAGATTGGAAGGCCACAGAGATACATGAAATTAGGTAAACAATCTAGGTATTATATGATTTATCTTTATTGAATTCGTATTCATCATAATACTGAAGTTGTCAGTTACAATTGGTGCACAATGCATGCCATCAATGGATTAATGGTATTTTGCTGAAACATTCTTCCTAGGGCCTGAGTAAAGCCTCAGTTAACCTGGTGTCCAGCTACCTGAGCAGCAGGAAGCAGCAGGTAAAAATTGGCTCCAAATGCGGTGACTGGCTGGAAGTGCTGAAGGGGGTACCCCAGGGTTCTATTTTAGGACCCTTGCTATTTAATGTATTTGTAAATGATATGTTTTTATATGTGACATCCTATAAATTATATAATTATGCAGACGACAACACTGTCAGTGAATCAAATAAAGACCCAGATGCTTTAAAAAATAATATTGAAAATGACTGTCAAAATTTAATAGACTGGTTTAAATTAAACCAGATGAAAGCAAACCCTGATAAATTCCGGGCCATTTGTATAGGGAAACGTTCGGTAGATGCTATAGTCTTTTAGTATTGGCGAAATAGACATTGTTCCTGACAGTGTTATCAAACTTTTAGATGTGAACTTTGATTCATTTTAAACTTTGAAGCTCATATCTCTGAAATTTGTAGGAAAGCCTCAAGGCAATTGTCCATTTTAAAGCGAATTGGGAGTTTTCTAACCAAACAAGGTAGACTTATAATTTATTACTCTATTATTGTTTCAAATTTTAACTACTGTCCTTTAGTCTGGCACTCTTGTTCCATGAAAAGTGTCAGAAAGCTAGAAAAGTACAAGAAAGAGCTTTAAGGTTTATACATAATGATCACAACTCATCCTTCAGACACTTACTCAGTATTACCAACAGCGACAGGCTTCATGTAAGGCGTTTGAAGGAAATGGGTTGTGAGGTTTTTAAAATTATAAACAAAATTTCTCCTGAATATATTTATAATCTTGTAAATATTAAGATGTCTAATTATGACTTCAGGAAAGAAAATACTGCAGAGGTGCCCACCAGGGTCAACACTGTGAAGTATGGCCATAAATCGTTTGCTTTTGAGGCCGCCGGGGTCCACGTGGAACAGTCTCCCAAATGACTTCAGAAAAGTTGAACACTTCAAAGAATTCAGGAGGCTGGTCCATTCCTGGGATGGCCCCATCTGCCTTTGATTGTGTGATACTTTTACTGTCTTATTTCATTTCTTATATGTTTTAATTCTATTCTATATTTTTGCTGCTTCTTATTTGTATTTTAATTCCATATTTTCTAAAATATAAATTTTTACAAAACTTGATAAATTTTGTTAATTGATTTCGGTATCATTTTTAATTCACACTATAATACTGTATATTCTGTCAATTTTTATTTTTTGCTATATTAGCATTGTATTCAACATCATAGTGTTTTAATCCTAAGCCCTAAGAAATTCTTGTGTGATATACAAGTATTCATTCACTATTAACTATGTCTTTTATGTACCTTTTCTGAATACTACTTATCTGTGATCACATTTAAAGCTTTTCATATATAAACACCATTTTTTTATATATATCCTGGGGGCCTTTGTAGGTAGGGGACTCCCAATCACTTAGAAACCTGGGATATGTATACTTTCTTTTTCTGTGATGATTATTACTGTTTTATTATTAATATACCGGTATGTGATTATCTCCCTTTACTTGTAATATAATATGTTATTGTTATTTTTACATGTTTGTCGCAATAATAGCTCTCAAGAGCTAATGTTCCTTATTTACCTTTATGCGACGTTAAATAAAGTTTCTTGTATCTTGTATCTTGTAAGAGATTCAGACGTCAACCAAGAGAACAAGTACCAGGACAAACCAAGCAATGTAGACCACTCACCATTAACAGAATGATGAAGTGTGCAATAACTTTAACCTTGCACCAACGCATCTGCCAATCAAGGGCTGAATTCAGCCTGACAGAAAAAATATGATTAACACCCCAATAAACGTAGAGGAAACCAGTAGGGAACTTTCAGAATAGTGTAGGTTTTTCATAACAATGGATGTGAAACGCCTACTTAATAGTATCTCTTTTGGTGGAAAGACCTTAAGATTGGCGATAAACAAACCAGTAGACATTACAGAATGTATCAAATACTCTTCAGGAAACCACCTTTTGACTTTTACTGTATGAAACATTGTCGGTAAAATGAAGTGGTATGTTTAGTATTTTGGGAACTGAAGTCTGAAAAGCCGAGTTGACCATGCATCATGATTATAACAAATACAAAGTATCATCAATTAACAATCTCATTGACAAAAATCACGTGTTCTCTAAATTGTTTGAAAATCGGTGACAGCAGTACCCAAGAAGTTAAAAACTGTGTAGACACACAGTGATGCTTTCAAGCTATTACTTAGTCATGCGGACCAGTGACATTTGTTTGGAACTTCGTGTGTGTGGATAGAAGAACGACACTGACATACAAGTGTAAGTTGCATAGCAACCTTAAATATTCCACTAACAGAACAAGCTTTGTGTTCAGTCATTGTGTAATTTGGCAATGTGATTATGTACCATGATTCAGGATAGCCCGGGTTTCCTCTGGCTCTTAAACCAGACATCTATCTGTCAAAATGTCTTAATCTGGTATCAGGGTCAAAGGGAACCAGGGCTAGATCCAAGAGTAGAAATTTTAAACCGTTGTTAAAAATTCAACCGTTTGGACATCTCAGTTTCGACTCCCGGATCATTAACTCAACACCCTTCATAGGTTACCATTACCTCAGAATCAAAGATTTCCTTGCAATTTTATAGCTCAATGCAAGAAAAGCACTTAAAGCATCCATGACTGAGATAGCGACAATGCTACCCTTCAAGCATGATGCCCTCAACGAGTTAGCGACAATGCTACTTTTCAAGCATGATGCCCTGACAGAGTTAACGATAATGCTACCATTCAAGCATAATGCCCTCACTGAGATACCGATAATTCCACCCTTCAAGCATGATGCCCTCACAGAGTTAGCGAGAATGCCACCCTTCAAGCATGATGCCCTCACAGAGGTAGCGACAATGCTACCCTTCAAGCATGATGCCCTAATAGAGTTAGCGAAAATGCTACCCTTCAAGCATGATGCCCTCACAGAGAAAGTGACAATGCTACCCTTCAAGCATGATGCCCTCAGAATAAGCGACAATGCTACCATTCAAGCATAATGCCCTCACTGAGATACCGATAATGCCACCCTTCAAGCATGATGCTCTCACAGAGTTAGCGATAATGGCACCCTTCAAGCATGATGCCCTCACAGAGGTAGCGACAATGCTACCCTTAAAGCATGATGCCCTAATAGAGTTAGCGACAATGCTACCCTTCAAGCATGATGCCCTCACAGAGAAAGTGACAATGCTACCCTTCAAGCATGATGCCCTCAGAGTTAGAGACAATGCTACCCTTCAAGCATGGTGCCCTAACGCAGTTAGTGACAATGCTACCCTTCAAGCATGATGCCCTCACAGAGGTAGCGACAATGCTACCCTTCAAGCATCGTGCCCTAATAGAGTTAGCGACAATGCTACTCTTCAAGCATGGTGCCCTCACGCAGTTAGCAACAATGCTACCCTTCAAGCATGATGCCCTCACAGAGTTAGCGGCAATGCTACCCTTCAGGCATGATGCCCTCACTGAGATAGCGACAATGCTACCCTTCAAGCATGATGTCCTCACAGAGGTAGCGACAATGCTACCCTTTCAGCATGACACCCTCAGAGGTAGCGACAATGCTACCCTTCAAGCATGATGCCCTCAGAGTTAGCGACAATGCTACCCTTCAAGCATGATGCCCTCAAAGAGTTAGTGATAATGCTACCCTTCAATCAAAGCAATACTCGCTGAGTTAGAAATAACATCTTTCACATTATAGTTGTAATCAAAAAAACAAATCAATGTAATAAAGAATAAGGACAAAATTTCAAATAAACAAATTTATTCATTATGATTTCATATAAATATTAAGATTGCATACAAAAATATCTTAACATTTCATGAAAATGTAAGTCAAGAATAAATACCATTATGAGGAACATGAACAGAACAACGATTAACAATAAAATTGTCAGTACCACCTTCCTACGGAAGATAACTCACAAATGACAAAACATTTCTACAGAGCACTGAAAGTAGGACAAACTCACAGAAACAATTACTGAAGTCCTGAGATGAAAAACTATGTATGTGAGAATTAATGCTTCTGCTATTCCTACCTTCAAGACTGGTAGGCAATTTTTTTATTGTTTTTTTTTAATAATGAGAATATGTTTTGAGTACTGGTAATTCAATCTTTAAGCTATCACAGAAAATAGGATGTATATGATATGTGCCGTACAAATATCACAGTTTTATTAAAATATTAACTCTGATGATCCTAAAAGCAAAGCAGCATCCATATAAGTTAGGAATGTTCCCTTGTGTGGTTTCAACTGCTTTTTAGTGTATCTTGCCTTCTCAAGCCCTAGGGACAATTCACTAATTTCCATGACCAACTCGTATCTTTCATTGACTGGCTGGTCACATGTCCTAATAAGATGACAAACTGTCTGTTTCTACCAATCACAGATCACCTGGACAACAAAGATCAATCATCTCCATCTGCTCCTTCCTCGTCCTCTTTTGCCTCTGCTGTTTCCGACTGAAGTTGACTGGCCAGTGACGCCTTGATGACATTGTTAAGTGCCTCGGCCTAGTTGTAGAGAAAGTGATGTTACGTCAACATGTAAATACCTGTACTCATTAATAATGCTAAAAGCTGTATCATAGTCTAGAAGATGTACTGTGAAATCACATATTTTTGTGGGATCCTAATTTCGTGGTTTCACAAAAAAGAAAATTAAAAAAAATTGTGTGGGTACATGAATTCGTGGATTACAAGTACCCATTCATACAAGGAATAGCTTTATGTCAAACCTGGTATTATTTCTAGACCTAAGAATTGATGGATTAGGAGTGTCCACGAAAAATTTGTGAATTCACAGTAACAGTATTCATATCATGATTAGAATACGGAAGTACCTTATTTAGGGTTTATGCTATCCGATGCATTATACCTGTTATTTAAAGTATTTTAGGGTTATCTCCCTTAACTATGTTTTATCTTATAATTCAGAATGCTTTCAACTTTAAATGTGTCATCAATTAATTTGCAAATTCAGATTTATTGTCTATAAACTCACTATTAACAGGTTTAAATAGCAGATACTCATTTAACAATGACAGCGATACTTTTTATTGTCCTTGATACAATAATGTGGATAACTAATTGTCATGACGATATATTTTAGCTGTTGTTTTCCAATGACCTAGTTAAAAGACATCAATTCATTAAGAAAAATATGACATACAAAAATATTAGGCCTGAACTTTTGATCATGTTAATAATTTTCTACTGGTTTTGTATCTGCTTTAATGTTTGTGACTTTAAAAATAAGGAAACCCTACAAATCTGTTTCATGAACAAACCATGACAGTATGACCCTACATAATGAACGTGCTACAGAAAAAATAATAATATACATAGAGAATAAAACATGCCTTTTTCCATATCACACCCAGTATGAACCCCCGACCAATATCAGTCGTCTGGCCTTCAGCCCTTGTGCTGATAATGCAGTCTCGGGTTGATACTGGGGGTGATATGGAAAAAGGCATGTTTTATTCTGTTTATTACATACTTATTGATAAAAGCTACTATCTTATAATCTATTTTTCTTTTGAAATATTGAAAAACAAAAAAAATCCAAAAGAGGTGTGATACTGGTTTTGGGGTTTGATACGGCGGGGGCTGATACGGCTTTTGGGGTGTGATACGGTGAGGGCTGATATGGGTAAGAGCAATTGTGTCGTATCAAATATACAAACAAGAGGCCCACAGCCAAAGCTACAGGCAAAATATCAGTGTCTTGACTTCAGAAGATACTGTTAAACAATTAAAACACATTTGACCCCTGTGACCTTAAAAGTTCATAGCTCTTCCAACCAGAATGCAACTTGCCAAATATCACCACCTTATACCTTTTGTTTATTGAGAAGATGACTTTTAAAGATTTATGCACTATACACCAGATGTGAACATATTTGACCCCTGTGACCTTGAATATAGGCAAAAGTCATTAATTTGAATAAACTTCGTAGCCCTTCTTGCCAACATCCTTCTGGCCAAATATCATCACCCTGGACCTTTTGGTTATACGCAAGAAGTCGATTAAAGGTTTTTAAGACAATAGACCCATGTGACCTTGAATATGAGTGAAGGGTCATTTGTTTGAACAAACTTGGTAGCCCTAAATACCAACATCCTTTTGGCCAAATATCATCACCCTGGACCTTTAGGTTCTACAGAAGAAGTCATTTAAAGGTTTTCAAGACAATTGACCCCTGTGACCTTGAGTATGGACGAAGGTCATTCATTTGAACAAAATTTGTAGCCCTTCATGCCAACATCCTTCTGCCCAAATATCATCATCCTATTGAGAAGAAGTTGTTTGAAGATTTTACGACATCTGACCCCAGTGACTTTGAAAGTGGATCAGGTCATTCATTTGAACAAACATGGTATCCTTTCATCCCAGCATGCTACAGGCCCATTATCAGTACCCTGGGCCTTTTGGTTATTGAGAAGAAGTTTTTTGAAGATTTTACGACATCTGACCCCAGTGACTTTGAAAGTAGATCAAGGTCATTCATTTGAACAAACATGGTATCCTTTCATCCCAGCATGCTACAGGCCCAATATCAGTACCCTGGGCCTTTTGGTTATTGAGAAGAAGTTTTTTGAAGATTTTACGACATCTGACCCCAGTGACTTTGAAAGTGAATCAAGGTCATTCAATTGAACAAACATGGTATCCTTTCATCCCAGCATGCAACAGACCCAATATCAGTACCCTGGGCCATTTGGTTATTGAGAAGTTATTTGAAGATTTTACGACATTTGACCCCTGTGACCTTTAATGTCGGTCAAGGTCATTTATTTGAACAAACTTGGTGGCCCTTCATCCCAGCATGCTACATGCCCAATATCAGTACCCTGGGCCTTTCGGTTATTGAGAAGAAGTCGTTTGAAGATTTTAAGACATTTGACCCATGTGACCTTAAAAGTTGGTCAAGGTCATTCATTCGAACAAACTTGGTAGCCATTCATCCCAGCTTGTAACAGGCCCAATATCAGTACCCTGGGCCTTTTAGTTATTGAGAAGCAGTCGTTTGAGGATTTTAAGACATTTGACCCCTGTGACATTGAAAGTGGGTCAAGGCCATTCATTTGAACAAACTTGGTAGCCCTTCATCCGGACGCCGCACCATGCTATAAGCTCACTTCGGGCCAGGTGAGCTAAAACCCTATATTTATTAGTAATTATGTAATAAATAAGAATACATACCTGGTTCTCTGGAGGTTCAGGCATACATCTCAGCTCATACACTGTCACCTGTCCCTCACTGTCACCCACCAGGATACACTGTCAACAGGGAAATAGTAACATTATACAATACACTATCTTACAACCACATACACTGTCACCTGTTCCTCACTGTCACCCACCAGGATACACTGTCAACAGGAAAATAGTAACATTATACAATACACTATCTAACAACCACATACACTTGTCACCCAGTAGGATACCTTGTCAATATCCAAATTGTAACATTGCTACAACTTTGAATAGTCTTTCGATCTCAAAATTACCTGATCAACTGGCAATATACTTAAATATCTTAAACTTGGAATATTTTTTAATATTGAATTTCTCATAATTTTCCATGCTAGCAGCAACAAGAGTAGCAGTGCTCTTGCTTAGTTCTGAAACACGTGGTTGATGTAACGACTAGCTGTTTGAATGTTCATATACATGTACATGTACTCCAATAAATACCTATACATTTTCTGAAAAAATAGCCAGTTCAAAGCTGATGAATACAAAGCAGGCTACTTTTGTCAGCAACCAGCTTTTGATGAGAAAACTGACTAGAATATATGTCCATGTACTACTAGCCTAGAAGTCTATAACATGTAAGTACCTTATATCACCCTATGCCTTCTTTGTGAAAAAATTACCTCAGAATTTTTGGCAAATGTCACTGCAGTCTGTTTGGCCCCAGAGGATGGGTTACTGACGATCTGCGGGTCCAGTCTAGAACAAAAACAAGAGAAATGTCCAAATATAAATACAGGATTTTAAAATTCACAAAAAAAAAAAAAAAAAAAAAACATTGATTGACTTTGAATGTATGATGCAGTATATATCAATGTTGTTGATACAAAAGGAAGCTACTTACGTGCTGAGGCTGAGGTCCCACACCTCGACGCGCCCCTCGTTGACGCAGGCAAACACAGTTGAAGATCGCGGGGACCATGTCACGTCATACACTGATTTCTGTAAAATCAACCGACAAGAGCACATTAGTAGAAGTATCTTTTGTTGTCCAATTAAAACTTGTCTATTACAATTAAATCCATGAACAAGATATCATCAACCTATTATACAACATTAAACAAAAATTGTCCCAATAAATCACAGCCTGTCACCCAAGTTTAATTAACAAAGGCCTAAAATTAATTAACAATTTAATCAAAAGGATAACTTCAATACCCCCTGCTCCTAAAAATTCAGAAAAAAACCCAGCTTAAATTTCAATATAAAAAGGTAAAACACTTCAAATAAATCACAAAATCACTTAATTGAAAAAAGGTACTGATCATGTCTACCATATCCTTTGAATAACAGTCAAAAAGTAAATAGCAGTATACTTCAGACAAAATCTGTTAAAAGAAGTAAAAAAAACACCCAAATTGGCATAACTCCCCAACAAAATTGTCAAAATCAACATATATGACAAGCAACTACCAAAGAGCACTATTTTTCATATGTATCAAGCAGAACTTCCGAAAAACATCAAAAACAGATATCAAAATAGATATATATCACATCAAACAAAATTGTCAAAATTGAAAAAAAACATACCAGTCCACAACTACCTAAGGTACTGATGTTCCATGTTCATAAAAATTGGTTGAAAATATAAGCAGCTGTGTATGTACGTGTCAGGCAAATTTCCGTCCACTAACAGACAAACGATAGCTCAATTCAAGTTAACAACTTTATTAGGGGATGGAGGGTATAAATATGTACTTTGTCTGCAGAAAGCTTTGACAAATGTTTGTATTTGTCAACTTTGCCAACTTAACTGAAACTTACATTTACAGAAATTTTGGTTCACATATTATGTTCAGGTTTTACTGGTATTATAATCTCAATATAAAAAAAAAATGACGTACATTTAGGGAAAAGAAGCTAAGAATAGGTTTATTTCTCTCTTGGTGCCATAACCGAATACTCCAATCTGCACTGCAACTGAGGAAAATATCGTTGACGAAGGGAGACCACTCCATTTTGTAAACTGGACCCTGAAAAATAATACACAGATACATTTCAATACTATATAACAGCAATAGCATCCATATCGATCATTATATCAAATCATTTACCCCTGAGAACACATTTGAACTTTTCCAAATCAAAATGCGTCCTCCTAAAAATGAACTCCGTCTTCACAAAGAAGACAACGTATGTCAATTTCGAGCCGTTATCATGCAGATGATACTTCGCTGTGTAAAAATTCTGCAAAATTTCACATAAAGTTGCCAGACAGTTTGGATGAGATACAAAAATCTAGCACAAGGTAGAATGTTGGTGTCTGTGTCTGAGGTGCAAAATCAGAAATATTTCCGTAATTATTTGCCACACGTGACAGAACTACTTACATTGTGACCGGTATAGCTGTCCAGATATTGCTCGTTGTAGGAACATGAACACTTGTGAATATGGCCTTCTTCTGTTCCAGCTAGGTAACTAAGTACAACCAAATCACACAATTATTTTTATAATTTTCAAATACATAAATATTTCAAAATGAATTGAAAACATAAAGAATATACTACATTTTCAATGTAAAATTTAGAGATTCAAATTAAAAAATAAAACAACTTATTTCCTTGTTTTAATTTTGAGAACCTTTCCACATTAGTTTAGTACAGATTTGCAGCCCTAATATAAAACACATAAAAGACCAAATTTGTATATGTTAATTAGAAAGTTACAAGTTCTACATTCCATGCAGACTGACACATCTACATATACACTTACATGTTAGCATCTCTGCTATGGAAGTCAAAACACAGACCTCCGGCATGTCTGGAAATGAAAGCCTCGCCCTTCTTCTCTTTTTTACCTCCCATCCTGGTCGGCATTCTCTTCAGCCTCATTAAATCTATTATCACCAAACAAATTAATTCATAGATCATGAAAATGTATACCAAATAATATCAATCTACAAATTACCAAAATGTGGATTTATTAATCATTATTATTATTTTTTTAAACCAAGAGGCGACATGGTCCTGAACTGCCCACATCTGGATGTGTTTGGCCCTCCGCCATCTTTCCCCCTTTCCAGAAGGGTCTCAACATTTGTTTAGACAACATTAAATCCTCTTTACCCAGGGATGCTTAAGAACAAATTTGGTTACTATTCCTTTGTCCATTCTGAAGGTGTAGTCTTTTAAAGTTTACCTCTATTTCCCCTATTGGGGCCCTTGCCTTTGCTCCAGGGTGGCCACACCCTTCATAACGTAATACTGAGTTTCCTTGGCCTTAAAGTCATGCCACAAAGCTTATTTGATTCAAACCCCTTCACACATACTGAAGGAGTGTTTATAAAAAATATACTTCTATATCCTGTATTCCCCTCTGAAAATCTAATGACCTGTACAGGTGGAATAGTTTTTTAACAGAAAATGTTGACAAACAAGGCATGACATACCACAGTATAATCTTGTATGGCCCTTAGGGCAAAATGACCTACAAATTACCACCCTAACAATTAAACCTGTAAAACGGAATAACGCTATACACCTATTTCATCTTTATAAAGAAACTGAGAAGCAAGAATGATTTAGTATGTAATGAAGAAAGAGGTAAGAATTTGTTAGACGGGACCAATTCATTCTTGGACAGGCATTACTTTAACTTATTAGTACAAATGTATAGGGATCGTCAATAGATTTAAATTCTAAGTCTTTACCGTAGCTTTCGAATCCTTTTCTGATGGACCACTGTGTCACTCTCCCATCCGTGGAGATAGAAACGAGTACCTCTGTGCGCTCGTCACCTGACCCTCGCTCCTTCTCTATCCATCGAATGTGCCATACAGGTGCTGTGTGCTTCCCCGCGAGGTGGCTACACATTATATACATCAAGAGGTCAACAAGGGTTCTAGTTTCTTACAGTTACATGGTTGAAGTTTCAATACAAGTTAAGAATCCCTTCATAAATAAAACAGTTCTTTTCAAAGAAAAAAAATCTTTTTATTAGGAAGGAGACATATTTACTTTTGATCACACAGCTAAGATATAGATAATTGAAGCCATCTTTTTTATTATGAGTGGCTTTTCATTACAGTTAACCTTTTATACTGCTTCAATGTCGCTTTTCGCTGTTAAAATGAAAACAAATCCTGCTTGCACTTGTATAAAGAAAATATCAGGTAGAGATTTCACACTCACAAGCTATCAACAATGGGCTCATCTTGTGTGCTCTTCACGTTGTATATGGCGACCCCTCCATCATACAAACCAACCTGTTAATGAAAACATCAAATTTACATCCTAGTGAAACAATAGGTGAAGTATACAAGTCATTCATATTCATATCGTTAATAAGTTAGAATTTGACCATTAAATATTCATATTGTTAATAAGTTAGGATTTGACAGTGAAATATACAATGAAATATACATACCCCTAATAAGTTAGGATCTGACAGTGAAATATACAATGAAATTTGACCATGAAATATACATACCCCTAATAAGTTAGGATTTGACCGTGATATACATACTGCTAATAAGTTAGGATTTGACTGTGAAATATACATACCGCTAATACGTAAGGATTTGACCATGAGATATACATACCGCTAATAAGTTAGGATTTGACCGTGAGATATACATACCGCTAATAAGTTAGGATTTGACCGTGAAATATACATACCGCTAATACGTAAGGATTTGACCATGAGATATACATACCGCTAATAAGTTAGGATTTGACCGTGAGAAGTCAATTGCAGTCACTCCTTCTTTACAAGTATAGACACGTTCTGGAAACTGAAACAATAATTGATGAGTTAATAAAATTCATCATCATTTTACAACTGACATATTGCTGTAATGTGGAAAATGCCATACAGAGCCATACAGAGCTCAATCAAATTCTAGGAGAATATTCTACAAACTTATCGATTCTATTTGGCTATAGGCAATTACGACCAAGTTTAGATTCACTAATAGAACAGATTCTATTTATTTTATTAGTAAATAGTAGATATAAAAATGTCACATAAGAATCAATTATCAAATGATATTCAGAATTAGTATTTTCATAAATCATACAGAAATGAAGGATATGAAATACTTTACTATAAGCTTAAGATATAAACTCAATCTATTTCTAAGTGTTGCAATGTCATGAGATAATGTCAGCTGCTGCAGCCACTTCAAAAGGAGCTGTATTTCATCAGTGGATATGTTCCAACAGTAATCTAGATTCAAAATAGAGGACTGATGAAACTTAACATTCTTCAGGAATTCTGCCTTATTGAGACATCTGGGTGCCAAATACTGATCTGTATATATATATATATATATGTTGATAAATTCATAATTTTCAATTTGGAACCAATATGCTAATTAAAATAGCATACTAACCTCTGGATTCTTGAGTGACCAACAACAGATCAGGCCAGATTTTTGATTGGAGAACTCAAATTGTCCATAACCAATGGCGATTAAATCCTGAAAGATGGAAATGATGTACGACAATGAAGATAGAAAAATGATGTATGACAATGAAGATAGAAATGACGTACGACAATGAAGCTTGATTGATAATTGATGTAAACCTGGAGAAAATCACACTTTGACCAATGAATGAGGTGAAATAAGCATGACTTTTATCACATTTCAATTTCAAAATCTGTACTTGATATAAGCCGACTTTTCCGTATTCCCAATTTAGGAAAAAATGTACTACAGGTAATTGACAATCAAAGTTATATTTTAACTGTCTGGGTAAGAACATCGTTTTTTTACATAGCAGTGACTTGATGAACCTTATATATATACAAAATGTTCTATTTATTATAAAAAAAATGATAGTTTTATTAATTTTTTCTTTCAATTTTAAAATAGCTTATTTTTCTCCTAAATCTTCCTTAGCTTATTGTTTATTTTATCTAAGATGATAAAAGGTTATCTCTTTACTGGATTGAGTTTGTTCCAAGTCATACAGCTGACGTTGCGTCCCTTGGTCATGGGACAGGAATAGGCCCATAGTCTGTCCACATTTGGTCCCATATCGGCCACACTTATCTGCTGGGTAGGGTTAGCAGTTTCACTGGTGCTGTCAATATCTGTGAAAGACAACACACAGCTATATATATCTAATCATAAGCTGACATTCTCTTTTCCTTTAATTCATCAATACATTAGCTTACACACATATAGCTTTAATTAGGTCAAAACAAAAATTATGTGTGTTAAACATTGTAGGTGACATACAAAAAAAATAGGGTATGTCGGTATAGGCAAACAATTTTATTTTCAATTTTTATTTTGAAGGATCAATATAAGGCTTTCATGAGTATTTCAATTTGTTTTATAATGCATTTCTATACACATTACATTACTGTCAAGAATGTATCAGGGGTACAAGTAAGTAATGACATTTTCTTAAGTTGGCAGGGAAATCTAGGGTATGTCATGATACCTGAAACCCAAACAATTTGTTTTTGACCTTTAAACAAATGTGTATAAAATTATCACCGACAGCTATTGCTTAACATACAAACAAGCAATATATAGTATAACACTGCAAGTAGACCAATCATTTGACTATGAATGCTTCTGTTGCGATACTGTGCATTAATATACAATGTACTTCATCATGAATGGATATAGCAAGATAGAGCATTTCAAGTACAGCTATAACAGTCTTATTTGCAGGAAATATGATAAATTTTCACCGCCAAATTCCGGGGTTACATCGATACCTAATCGGGGTCTTTGCTAATTTTTACGGATTTTCCGGTACTACCCCGCACAATCGGGGGTGATTGACACCTTCAGGAATATAATGACAACCATGACAGATAGGCCAACTCTCAATAAGAAAGGACCACCTCTCAATTACGAATATGAAGACTCAATAACTTTAGGATAATCTGTTTTAATTTTGAAGATGGACCTGTCAGAGTTGTTGCCCCTGATACCGACACAGAACTGACCAATAGCATGTGAGGAGAGTTACCTGGTACAATATCAAACCCTCTGTAACTAGCTTGTTTTGGCTGGTAGGTGTTCAGGTTTATCACTCTCTCCATGATGAATAAATCTCTCTTGAAATTTTCAGCCTAAACAGGAAAATTGAAAAAGAGTCGATCTTTAGTTCCTCAATCAACAAAGGTTTTATACAAAATTTATATAAAAGATGAATAAAGAAATGTTATTGGAATGTAACAACAAAATTCTAAAATTTCTGCTAGGGACATTTATAAATCAAAGTTTTGAATGTCATTCTGGTTCACAAAAGATCTAATTAATTTCTGACTCAATTATTGCAAAGTTGTTTTGCCATAATTCACAATTTTAAAAATGGTGTGATATTTTATTCAACTTAAAAAAAAAATCAAAAAGAAATCATAAAATTGAATTTGATGGAGCACATTTTTTTTGTGTCATAAAATATTCTTCCTCTAACCTTTAAGATTTTGTCTTCCTCAAGTGCTATAAGGTCTGTTGGCATGGAGGACACTCCGGTTTCTCTGCTGGCGAAAATACTCTCCGACCCCGCCATTGATGACATGGTGGCACGGCTCTCTGTAAACCAGGGTCAAGGTCATTAACCACACATTATACACTGTGTTTTTTACAGCTGCACTATAAATCCTTACTGGAGTTGTTAGGATCATGAACAAATTCGGAGATTAATATACATAACAATCATAAATGCTAATTTTGTTTTTAACACAAACAGGAATTTAAAACTTATTTTGCAAGCTTTAGAAAACGTATGTATACACACATACATAAAATGTATGTGCGCATCACCAGTTATTTAAATTCTTTGCTTGACAAAGAAAACAGACGCTTTTTAAAAGCTCGTAAAATGAGGTTTCAATTACTGTTTGTGTTCAAAACAAACTTAGCATTTAATTATTTATTTATACCAAGCTGATGATTCTTATTCTGAATACAGAGGAGTCACTATAAAGGATTAACATATAGCTAACATATATAGCAATACACTGCCACAGGACCAGAAATCGCCTTCAAGATGAACAGGACATAGGAGACACAGATATTAAATAGTTCCTTGTTTAAAACAAGATATAATTATTTTATGATTGTAGTTGAATTACAATATTTCCATGATTCAGCAAAGCACAGTTAGTGAAAACATTGAAACATCTGAGATTGTCACGTAACATAAAGTGTATCAGAAGGTATTAATGGGAAAACATTACATTTTCTATTTATAGCATCTTTACGTTCATCAAAACCGTAAAAACTTGTTTAATTTGCGCATTTTTTGTGTGTTGAAGTTTGAAGTTGGGGATGTGCAAATTACATAGCTATAGGTGTTTTCAGGATTTTTTAAAAAGAATTTTGTATATTGACTTGAATTTTTTCACAAATATTCATAATCTATTTAAATATCTAACAATTACTATTTGTATTTTATGTACATAATGTCAATAAAATGATATTGACGAAACAACACTCCAAAAATCTTAGTCACTGAAGCGTTTGTTCAGTATTATTTGAACACACTGCGAAACGTCACAATGGCAAATATAAAGATGGTGGCATAACCAAGTGAGTGACCCCACATGCATTCATAAAGCTGTAAATGCAACTTCAGTATGGGTGCAGGTTCCTATAACACCAATGTAAATAAAAGTGTCGGTGGGTTTTTATGACAATCAGTGTTAAATATGTAGTCAGTCATATCAACCTTCAATATCTTCATGACTGACCTTCAAGTACAATTTTGAATCTAGGATTAATTTAAAATTATTAAAAACTAAAAGTGAAATGTGTACACCCTGCAATTCAACATGAGAATTTCACCTTTGATAAGATTAAATGCATAAATTTACTCAGATTTTGGTAAATATTTTCAAAAAATTCAATTAGAATTTATTTAAACATTGATAGTTTAGTACAACTAAATCCTGAAAGCTAGAGAAAATTATTTAGGTGGAGATGTTTCACTGTTAGCTGTAACAATGGTGAAAGTAGGGAAAGCAAATTTTACTCAAAAAATGGAGATGTTAGTCAAAGGTTATAGTGATGGTTAAAATAAGTTACAAAATATATCAATTAGGTCTCAATTTACAGGTATAGTTACTCACAGCAATTAAAATTAATCAATACATTGTATATCACAAAAGATTTTATTGTAAAAGTAATCCCTGGAACAGTGGATGGGTGTTTTTTTGAGATGATTTGGTTTAGTCTGGAATACAGTAAAACGCTACTACTCTTGTAACTCGAACTCTTCAAGGGGTCCAGATCAATAGTTTGGGGGTATATCAGTAGATGAAAGATGACATTAGTGAATTAACACTTCTGCTAAAACATCAATGTCAAACATCGTAGGGACATAATAAATCTGCACACAAAATGATAATGCAGCTCTACAACAGGGTTACATTACATGTACTAAATGATGCTGCCGTTAATCCCCTGATTATCTAACGTCTGGCCAACACCTGTATAAATCCAATGAGCGTGGACCGCAGTCTGTGTATTGATTCCTGTCGACGGAGAAGGTGTGCTATACAGGTTACTACCTCTTCGACAAACGGCTGGGTTAATTACTAAGAATCTGAGTAGTCGGGAATAAAATTGAATGAAGTTTGAGGAACATGAGGTAATTCAGCAATGGCAATCAAAGTGATCCGAAGTTATTTACAAAGAATATATAAGAACATGGTCGGGACTAAGCAAACTATTTAAGGAATGGGGGTATTCGAGTAATGCGAGTTCGAGTAAGTGCCATGGGTTTAACTGTAATTCTAGATTAATTAATTAGTCAAATCACATTAGTCAGACAACTATCATTAAGTCAGAAATAAATGTCTACCATTGAATTAATTGACATGTGTACATGAACTGTCATTCAAATTAATTTGTTTAATATAAATACATAAGGCATTATGTGAACCAGGGTTCTTATTAGCATGGTTCTACTGTAGGCTGGTTTGAACTAACCAGTATATGATAACCAGGGTGTAGAAAAGGTGACACATGCATGCAGGCAATGGGAGTTCCACAAACGGACCAGTTAGTTACCAACATACACACCATGGTTAAGGAAATATGTAGTGAGAGGTTGAATCATGCAAAGCAAGTTATGTCATATTAGTACCGTATTTGATTGCAAATAAGCCCTCACTCGCAAATAAGCCCTCTCCTCACTTTGGCAAATATCTTGGAAACAGGGTGAGTGCCTGCAATTAAGACTTCTCCCTACTTTTGGTCAATCCTTTTTTTCACTAAAGGATGGGGGCTTATTTGCGGATAAATACGGTAAGTACATGTGTGATAATCTTATCTAAGCTGCATGTACAATGGTGAAGACAAAGGATGAGGGGGATAAAGGAAAGGAGGTGCACAGGAAAGAATATGTGTGAAGTGAGTAATGATTACAGATTTAAGAAAAGAAAACAGATAGTGATGGAAATTCATATTTTTTTCTCCATCTCTCATTTCAATAACTGAGGCATCTAAACATGCATTCATGAATGTAAAATACTCCAACGAAAAGTGCCACCCTACCAATAGAGTTCAGGCAAAGTCTAATATATATCTTTACAGGGTGCACTACACAAGATATCTACAGACTTACCTGCCCTTGATTGTATTGATTGTGCTGTGGCCGAACCTTAGGTAGCATAAATATAAATCACATTGAATAGGTTGTTTATATTAAGGTTTACTGAAATGCACATACAACTTTTCAACATCATCTGATTGAAGCGTACAAACCATTTTGACAACTTAATAAGACAAACAATATACAATTAAAAATTTGAAGCCCAACTGTTGTAAGATAACCAAGTATCAAGTCTTGTTAGCTTACAATACTTCGACACTGTTAATCAGATTACACATAAGGGTGTTTCGATATTAACACATGTAAACTGTGAGTTATTGTGAAATCATTCATTTTCATGGGTTTTTTAATTTCGTTGATTTCCTGGAAAATCTTAATTCACAAATTCATAGGTCCACAAAGTAATTACAAGATTGATAAAAGCAGTTCTCAGTCTGAGTGGGTACTCGTAATCCACGAATTCATGTACCAGGTACCCACAAAAAAATGGTGACTTGTCGGGAAAACCATGAAATTTGGGCCCCACAAAAAAATCTGATTTCACAGTAAACCAGTATTTGGACATTTAAAGGGACATCACGTGAAAAGGCGGGTTTTTTTTTAATGAATGTATGTATTGTATGCACTTCCACTTATGTTACCTCGCTATCCCCATATTCATAGTGCGTTCCAAATGTCCAGTTTGACCACTTGAATTGTTCGGGAAAGCCCGGCTAAAAATAGTGCTGATAACGTCACCTGATTAGGCAGAGTTATATGATTTCTAATTCCGTATTCAAACTTATTGAACAGTAATTATTCATCATCAGAAGTTAATTGCACACTTGCCAATATTAAGAATTTAAATTTATTTAGATTTTAACATAAATTTGTTGCCAATAAAATTAAACAAAGGATGGGGCACAAGTTTTTACAATTTATCACAGCCTTCTCCCGTGACCGGTACAGGTGGTACGGGGCTAAACACTCCCTCAACAATGGGACAAACCTTTCTGTAAAAAGGAATATTCACGAGACGAATATCCCTTTTCAAATGTTTACATAAAGTGCATATATGCAATGACAAACTACACGCGAATATAAAAAGGAAACGTTTGTGAATTTATTTATTACATTAAACAACTCAATGTCTTTGGCCATTTTTTTTCTAGACCATGAATATAAATCTATGTATACTCTCTTTCCCACTTTCACTGTCTCCAAACGCTAACATTTAGGAAGTCATATTAACCATCACACACAATAAACTGTATGGCAAAACCACTACGTGTACATGTAGAATATGTGTCAATAAGGAACGTGTTGAGATACTTGATAATTATATTTTTTCAATACTTTACAGAGATTAAAGCATACTTTTAAATGGACCTTTTTATGCTGAGACAACTTTTCTTTAATCAGTTCCTTTGGTCCGAAACAGAAGCCGTAGTTATCGGCAGCACGCGCCATTTTTATAACGTAATCAAATATTTTTTCCCCTGTTTTCAATACGTATTCCGATTCTATCTGAAGTCGAAAATTTATTCTTTATAGAGAAAAGGTTGTTACATGATCATACATTCTAAGTCAACATCATATGAAAACATGAACTGTTGAAAAATTACGATTTAAAAAAAAAGTGTTATGCGATCCTATTTACTAGAAGTAGGTTCTCCTTCCTCAGTTATTCATCCTGGTCCGTCATTTTGACATTTTTAATCTAGCTGCGATAACGTAGCTTTCTGACGAAGAGCGATTTTTTTTTTATATATTGCGTCGTCGCGCCAGGGCAGGCCGGGTATTATATTAGTACTAATTTAAAACTTGCATGTCAAAACAAAAAACAATCGTTTAATTCAGCAATATAATTAAATCATACCATTTTACTGATCCCGGTAATATTATAAATTATGTAAATCTAATAGCGCACGTATCTAATTTGACCCCGAGCACCAACAGAGGATCAGAGAACAGAATACACCGTGGCCATCACAGCAGTTATCCCTTGGGGGGCCTCATTGCAAAATCAAACTAACCAGTCACTTATCCCTTTCGTTTGCATAAACCACTGTATAATTATAAAAAACACAAAGTAAACTCTCTCCGATACATGCCCATTAACATATTAAACTAAGTTCATCTGTGCTCAAACTCACACAATGATATAGCGAGGTTCATAGTTTTAGATATTTATTTATAACATAAACAGCGCTAGCATTTCTGTCGATTTTATTTCAGCTTAACTGGCCGCTATCCGGAAGAAAACATGCACCGTACTGACTGCTAGGGCAGTTATTTTCTGCTTTGAATACTTCCCACTGGCAATAATGATTCCGTAACGTACCCCTAGCGCTATCTTTTGACCATTTGACAACTATTCGCTTCGTAGCTGACACGGTACAACACTTTTCTTTCGCTTACTTCACACGGCCAGTCATTTTGTTTACAAGGAAATGGTGTGCTATGCGCATGCGCTAGTAGATGGAAATCCCTGAACAAAACATTGGTCAGACAGGTAGAAATACCGATGATTATCTTAGATTTAATCATTTTTATGAATCTATTTCAGCCAAATCCGATCGGCATTTTCCATAAGGAGTCTCACTTGATATGTTTATGTAGTATTTGGAAAAAAGACACAAAAAAAAGTTACTTCAGCGTGATGTCCCTTTAAGGAGTACATAGGTTTATAAATATATTAGTACACATATGATAACAGAAAAGGGGTGAAATTGTGGTCTGCTAAAAATTATTATCAGTTTCCAAAAGTATAAGGTTTCTCGATTTTAAATTCTTGGATTTTTCTTTATCAAATTGGGAAGAAGAATGTCTAAATCTCATTGAAAATGAGAACAAAAATATACATATGGAGGAAAACCCCTAAGAATGGAATTTGTATGGGACTGCATGTATGTCCCATGTTACATGCAAAAAGCCCTGTAGAGACTTAAAAGTACTCGAGTAACTTACGTATAACTACCTGCTGCAGAGGACACCAATAAATCAGGACACTGATACTTCAGAAGTAAGATATGCTACAACTACACTTACTTCAGAAGTACGAGTAAGCTACAACCACCTTACTAGGTACCATGTTTTTATCCTGCAATAAGGGGGCCTGTTTATAAACTCTTACTTTTATTACTTATAAGTAGTGGAAGGGCAATGAAAAAGCTTTTGCTAGCATTTCTACTGAACATTGTTTGACATGGGTGGGCTTATTACCAGATATATATGGTACAAAGCTCCTCTATGAAACGAGAGTATATTACAGCCACTGTAAGAAAATGTTCACTTCAGAAAGAATTTTAATATCACACAACAATACAGCGACACGTCAACAAATGATAAAACACTGAACATATGATCGGAATGAGACTACGTGTGTTGCAACAAGTCTTGTGCTCAGAAATTACTGTATATCTGTAAACACTGTTTACAAAATATTTTGATGATACGAACTCTGACAGCCTGCTGTTACTTTCAATATGAGTCAGGTAATTATTTCTTTATTCTGTGTACTTTTTAATGTTTGAGATCTGACTGCAGCCGTGCCAAAAAAAGGGGGGGAAGGGNCCTAACCATAAACTCAATCCTTTGGTACCTATTCCACAGACATTCATTTCCATTTTACCCTGTATGTGCTGCTATGTACAGTATAAGTAAATGTGAAAATAAATACCACGCAAAAATCTGCATAATCTACAGGAACAGTTTAAAAGTTTCACATTATACAATAATCAATATACAGAGATTAACATCATCATAACTATTGTTACTTGACTACCAATAATGGGGGGGGGGGGGGGGGGGGGGGGAATCTATGAGGTTATGTAATAACTTTCATATTCTCTTATTATGTTTTTTTCAGAATGAAATGATACCTTTATCAAATCCAGGATAAATAGGTGAACTAAGCATGCATACAGACTAGAACCAGATTCTTCAGCTTTCAGCTTCAAAATACCAAGCACCCATAAAACCAAACCAAATCAGAAAATTAAAAAAATATAGAATTGTTATTTTTGTAGATAGAACAATAATGAAAGTGTCCTATATCAGATCCAGTAAAAGAGTGTACAAGCACAGGTCTACTGTTGGTTCTACACCTAGTCCCATCCCTACCTATTTTCACGGTGCTACCTTCACGTGTAAGTACAGGTTTGTCCTGGCTGGTCGTCTGTGAGCCGGTCTCCTCTTTACTGTCTCCGTCCTTGGGACTCGTAGGCCGACTGATTGTACCCTCCTCCTCACCGCCATCATCGTTCTCTGAGGAGGCAAAACAACAGTGATACATGTAACAATATTAGGTACATGTATATGTGTCTCTTTCGTATTTGCAAATATGCAGCAAATAACTTGAGTAAATGTGTTTGAATTTCATTTGAACAATAGATACATTACCCACAATTACACTCAAATATTTACTGTCTACACTGACACTAAACTCAACCGACCTTGTTACTGCACACTGGAGTTATCATCTCATAACATTACCTATTAGGTGATATCTTAGGTAACAAGGCCAGCACTCTATCATACAGACAAAAATAACCAAAGTCATACCAATCAAAATATGTAAGTTATTTGGTCGTTAGTCAAAATATCTACTTAATTAGGTCACAGGTCAAAATATCTTTGTCACTATGTCACAATTTCAACTTTCCATTAAAAATAACAGGGTGATGTAAAGAGTGAAAGGGAATATTCTTCAGATATCAATATAGCTTAGCATGATGTAAGGTGTCTTTTTTCAAGGACACAACAGAACATTTACATAGGGTGGGAGTAAAACCACCAGACTGTGAAGGTCACCAGTCAGGCCAATTAGTAATCTACTATTTGTGTATTATTGTAGTATAGATTTACATATAGAAGTAACTGGTATATTGTGTTTTCATGTTTAATATCAATTCTTCACATCTTCAAAATTAAAGTCTATATGTATTGTAAAAATTTCTCCAATTTTTTTAATAGAACAAAATGTTTTTGATAGAGATCTTTTTATAAACACAAATATAATTCAGGTTTTAGCTCAAAAGATTTGCATTATGTAGTAGATATAATTTGAAAGATTTTTAGACAAATTCATTAAAATGAAAAAGAAACAAAGTACCTACAAAATGTAATTTACATATTAACAGACATCACCAATTATGATTTTAATATTGAAATAGAAGTTTGCAGATTGAAGGGTAAGAAGCCATTTTTTTCTTAAAGCTGCAACAGTCTGATTAACAATCCATTCGGATTGATATGTTTCGCCTATGCTCCGTTTTGACCATCAATGCACATGTCAGAGAAACTAACTTAAACGCAAAAACTTAATGTTGATGGAGATGCTGATAAAGTCAATGGACCATGAAAGGTAGACCGCATCCATCATTTGATGCATGGATTGTTATGTACTAACTAAGATGCATCTATGGTCCAAGTTTGATTGGTCTAGCACTTATACTTTCAGTGAAACTAACTTAAATGCAAAAACTTAATGTTGACGATGTCGTCACCGGAAAAGTAACACCTTAGTCTTGCTTCCACTTCGTGGTGGTGAGACAAAAACCAAATTTTGTATGATTTTATGACTGGTAAAAAGACTTACATCACCAGGTGACAACATCAATGAATACCTGATATACAGGAATATTCGAAGATTTACTATTGATATTAGTAATTTGTTAAGAAAATCCCATTGAAAACACAGAAAACATCATGTTGTGTATGTAAGATATATCAGTACAGTTTATCATATAAAAAGCAACCAGAAATATTATAGAGACATACACATACATATACTTTAAAATACAGGAATGTAATTTATATAAAACTTGTGCGGACCTGCACCAGATGAGGTTTATATTAGATATATAGCAAGTTCATTCACACAAACAATACAATATATAATCAACAGCACACGGTTCAAATCATCATGGTATGTTACAATAAAAAAAGGGTACAAGACTGGTATAGTTTTAATTAGTGTTAAAAATGTAGTTCATGTTCTTGACCTTTCAAATTCATTTAACCTGAAGTACTGGTCACAAATCTGATGGGATCATACCAGTAATGATTAAGGGTTTTTTAATTATCACAAATTTCATGGATTTTTTTTATTTCAATCAGGAAATGTTAAATGATTTAGTAAAAGAAAATGTCATCAGTATGACATCAGAGAAATGTTAATTTCCATGTCAAGTGACACGACATCACAACATTGAATCTTACTCTCTTTGTCGGGTAAACCTGAAACAGTATCTCTCAGTTATATATACAGTACATAAAAAATAAACAAATATTGGGTATCTTTGAACAAATAATAATAACAGACAAATGCATTTGGCAATTGTCAATAGCTAAAAACGTTGTTACCGTATTCGTCGTAATGAACATGAGCGCCTCTCCCTTTTTATCAAGTACCCATTGAATGATATATGTGCCCCCTTTCCCCTGGTTAACAAAATATAGCATTTCATACCCTTTATATCAGACAATACAGTTTCTCAATCTGCAAAGAATGTTTTCCAGTGGATTAGAAGAAGAAAAAAGGAGAACAATTTTTAAATTCTCACAGTCCCTGGGAATGTGTCCAACCTTTATGGCAACTAAATTTACAGCAACTGCCCCTGCCTATATTTTGGTATTTTAACAATTTTTATGCACCCTGGAATTTTGGTATTTTAACAATTTTTATGCACCCTGGAATTTTGGTTGTTTAACAAAAAAATTATGCACCCTGGATGTTCATTACAGAGAATATGGTATGTTTAATCACTTTATTATAAAAAAAACCACTGCTCTACCTATTTTTCTACTTATAAAATAAATAGAGAATAACTTTTAAAATTGCATTTATAAATTTGTATAACGTTACCTTTGTTTTCTTTATCCTGCTCGTCATACGTGTCATACATGTCCCACGTGGTGGCTGTTATACCAACGTCCTGTCAAAATTCAACAATCGGTACATACTTCAAAGGAAGCTTTTACGAAGAATGCAGTGATAGGTATAACAATAAACTGTATGTCGGAGTGACATATTTGTCTTAATTACAAAACTGTTCAAGGAAAGGATTCCTTGTCGAGTTAAATCATAAATATCTAATAAACAAGTATTCGATAAACTGAAATGTATTTGTATTTAATTTCATAAACAAATAATACTTTTTTAAAAAGATTTTGTTTCTGACACACTAGGAATTATTTAATTTACAATTAAATAGTAAAATGTTGTGTCAGAATATCAGAGTCTTCACCTTATTCTATGATTTAAAAATAAATTGTAGAAAAAAGCCATTAAATATTTTTATAAAAAAATGGAAATCTCTACAAATGTACATTAATGATATCTCAATGGTAATCCCTTGATCGATTTTGAGTAAAATGTCCATATTGTAAATTGATTAAAAAATCACCTGTTAATAATATATATCCATTTGCATGTTAAGAATATCTATACAGTTCTAACAAGTTTCTGGGGCAGTATTGCATGCCAAGAACCTACATTATAGGCAATTTTGTTGGTCTGGATGGTTTTAAACTTGGGTGGCTCATTGAATGTGTTCATGCCTCTCTCCATGTATCTGTCATTGCCCACTCTGCTCCTGATCAACTGAAATCAATAAAAGCATATTGTAAGCTGAAGATATTGGTACGAGTATTTCAGGATACATGTAACCTTAGCTTACCCTGTATTGTGTTTTCATTCCATGAGGAACCTCATGTACAATTTTCTGTAAATGTTATAAGCATGGTACTAAAATCACCAGGACATCGTCTAGACACTCTTACAACAAAATTGAAGATGTCAGGTAAACGAGGATTGCGTACCCGAGATATCTAACGACTAGTTACTTACCTCTTGGTACGTTTCAGTTCTCTTTTTGATGCCTGCTGCCTCGTCTGACTCTGTGGAGACACAGATTGTGGGAAGGTCCAGCAGCCATATTGTCTCAGTCTCCGTCAAGGTGAGGTCAACCTCTTTCTCAAGGTCAGCTTCTGTCAATGTTTCCTTTACCTCTTCGCGTTTGTGTCGAATGTCTGTGACAAAAGAGTGTATTCGAGTCTATAAAAATGTCAAAGAAAATTGAATACCCCTCCCCCAGTACCTAGTAAATGATAACCTAAGCGGAAAATTCTGTTTCAAATCCTAGCTGTTTTAGAAACACATTTCAAAGACATGTAAAAACAACACAAATATATTAATTAAATAATTACATTTTGAAATAAATGATATTATAAGTAAATGAGTATTGAACAAAATTGACATGACAAGAATGACAGAAAAAACAGAACTATGATTGAGCTTAGTTTTTCAAATACATGTAGCAGCAAATGATGTGCTAGTGTCTGAATGATGTTTTGTCACAAGCAAAATATAACATGGTGTCAGGGATCCATCTCTCTGTTACCGACATAATTTTCTTATTTTAATCTGACATTTCAAATTCATGTATAAATAAAGACCGCTACACCAACAAAATGATCCTGACCAAATTTATCCATGATCATAAGAAAATGGAAAGTGTTTGAAAACTAACAATGAACCAGAATCTAATAAAACACAAATAAGATTTAATGTATGAACCAACCACCATACTACGAATACATTGGTATAAATTCCAAATCACCGTAAGAAAAAAACAACTTTTCCTACAAAGATTTTTTTTTTAATTAAAACACCAGTATTACATAGTAAATATTTTAAAATGAAACCCTTTTCCATAAAGGCTAAATTTTACCGATATAATCTATCGATTCAGGAGAACTTCGCGTGAGAGATGGTACTGAAGAAACATCTAAAATAAAAATTGTATTCCGTATACTTCACATGTAAACATTCAATACATAAATTGATCAAAAAAGTTTACTTATAATTCTTGAAAGCAATCTGGGGGTCTTAATAATGAGAGGAAAACCAGAGTGGCCAGAGAAAACCCAGTGGTCAGGCGTGAGACCCTGTAACATTATCACATGTGATCAAGGACTGGGATCTCTTCAATCTTGGTGAAAAGTGAGTGCACTTACCACTGTGTTACCCGACCATTTTCATAACACCATTTCATAAACTACATCTGAATTATTTAATACCTCAAATGGTAATAATAATTCTAGGTTCTTATATACCGCTTTATCACAACCTAGTTTGTAGGTCATCTCAAAGCGGTTCACAAATTATTATCTGTGGTTATAGGGCCTTTGCAACCGGCCAATATCTTTCTCAACTCCCTGGGGAGCATACAGCTATATGCTATCACTGCCCAACCACGTACTCATTTACAGCTGAGTAAACTGGAACAAGCGGAGTAAAGTATCTTGTTCAAAGATACAACACAGTGCCTTGCCATGACTTGAACCCGCAACCCTTCGGTCACAAGCCTGGGATCTCACCACTAGACTACCGTGCCTCCTGAACATTTATGATCAATATGATATATTACTTTACAAAGATTATATATGAAGGTATTTAAGCATTACTGGTTTGATTTTGCACAAAAGTCTAAAAATATGAAAAATGTAAATATTTCTTTTAAAACTTGAAGAGCATTTGAAATAAAAGCTGAAATAAATAGTGAATAGGTTAAAAACAGAAATTGTTTATGAGGTTACTTGTTTTCTAGGTTCAAATGAGTCTGACTGCATGTAAGCGTTTATAATAACAAAATTTCAATTATTTACCATAAAATAAGCAGATATTTTTAGGGAAATTAAGAGCTACTCAAACTGAATATACAGTTTTTAATTTTCTGGATGAATGATATTATGAATATGTAGAAATTTTGTCGCTAAATATACGTAGACAAGTTGGCTGTTGCTGAGGAACTGCAATATTGTTTGGCCTGCTACCTGACAGCTATGAAGAACAAAATTGTACAAGTAAATTAGAACTAAACCCTGAGCACAAGGACATTTTTTTACATTCTGGGATAAGAAAAGGCATTCATACATTCATTCAAACATATTTTATTGACATTAAACAGCCAAATGGACTGGGCACAATTTCTTACAACTTACTGGGCCCTCTCCCGACAACACAATATGATTTTACAAATATCATATGATGACAAAACGTTAAAACATATATTATGTACTAAATAATTGATATGGAGTGAGGGAAAAAGTGAAAAGGTGGATCGGAAGAGAGATACCCTGGTTACATTTGGTGTCCACCAAATTGTTTGTAAAAGGCTTTACTTTGTTCTAGATCCCATAACAAAATTGTTTTTCAGTATCAATTTAAGGTGACAATTCCTTTTGATTATCTTGATCTTTATGTGATCAGTAGGTTATCTCATTAACATTACTGCTAAGTTGTGTCTAAAACTGAAATATTGAAACCCATTAAAAACAGTTTTCCAGCACACAAAGCTATAATTAAACAATAAGCCAAAATATCATTGACATTTTATTACAATTAACAAAAATAACCAACAGATCTAAATGTGATGGAAATTTTCACATTTTAATCTTATTGACACTGTGGTCATCGCAAAATAATAAAATATGCATTAAAATTTCTAAAAAGATATTTTATTTATATATATATATTTATTTAGATATATATTTATTTATATTTATTTATATATTTATTTTTATTTATATATTTATTTATATTTATTTAAATTTATTTATATATTCATTTAATTATTTATTTATATATTTATGATATCTGTTTGGTTCATTTATAAAATGTAAGGTCAAATTTTGTGTTATTTTTGAAATAATAGTATTTTTTATTTATTTTACAACAATTATGAAACAAGTTACAAGGTATATCAACTTATATTAATCACTCTTGTTTCATGTGGGAGGAAACCTGAGTACCTGGAGAAAACCCACCTGGCTGGGCAGGTGACCCCATTACCTTTTCACTTCCAATCAGGGAATTGAAACCCAGCCGTCTTGGTACATACTGACATTATTTCATTGTACCAGACAGTTGTGTTTTGGACTGGTTTTTCATAACTAACCTGCCCAGGCTGTCTGTTCTGAGGAAGGCTCTGTGATCTCATCATCCCCACCCATCATGGAGTCTGTCCCCGTGCCCTGTGACTGGCTAAATACAGATCTAAAGAACAAATCACAAATAAAAAACATAATAAAACATTGTTCTCTGTATTATTAAAAATATGCATGTTTAATGATTTAATACCAAAAATAATGGAACAGAATTTTTTATATTCACAACTGTCTAAAATATAAAAAAAAGTTTTTGACACTAAGTACAAAATAGCAGTGGTACAATTCTTTGATCACAGAGTGGTTACCAAGTAGAACAATTCAAGGTACTTAACCATCAACTGCACCTTGGCAATAATATTTTACCATGGATTAAATGGCATGTTTGCATATATATATTTTTTCCATATTTGTCCCTTAAACAAATTAGACAGATAATAAATTGTTCCGATATTACTCTGAACTCCTTGTAAATTTCAAATTTTTAAACGGAAATTTCAACAAGACTTCTTTTGTGAGGATTTTTACCTTGTAAAAGGGCCTCCACCAAATGTACTGGCAGTCACATTGGCTGTGTTGTAAATGGAAGCTTGAGACATCAGATCTGTTGGCTATAAAAATGAGGGATACATGTCATTTCAAATCCTTAATCAAAACAATTTACCAGTTCTATAAATTTGTCCAAGAACTTGAAAACTATCAGACAAATGCATGAGATAGAAATACATAGAACACAGTATCAAAATAGCTTTCTTTTTAAAGCAAATTTACTAATAAAAGTAACATTTCAAAGAAAACAATAATTTGCATGAAATCACCCAAATACACCATAAATTAATTAAATGATAGACTATGCACTTATTTTAATCTAGACCACCAGAATTTTCAAAAAGCAACCTTATATACCCGGTACAGTAGCAGCACGTAAGAATAAATATGTGTACTGTACCACCATTTTAAAGTAACTAGTGGATTACTTATTATGTAGTACTTTAAAGTGCTTAGCCAGATTGAAAAGTTGTATTAGTTCACCCAAGGTTGACATATCAGTTTAAAAAGAAAGTGAGTTGGTAGTTTTTTTTTATTATTATTTTATTGGTTATATTACCAGTAGGTTTTTGGTCTTACTTTCGGGCAAATCAGCCCAATATTAAAAATTTCAACATTATTCTTTCCTGAAATAATAGTTACTTTCTAATAAAGATATCTCCTTAAATTATAAGACACCATTTAATTTTCTTAGACTATACCTGTAAGCCACTGTTACATTCTTCACATTTTTTGGTAAATGTTCATAATTAATTTTATGAAAAATAAAATAAATCTGTTGTTGATTAATCCAACATTGTATCATAAACTGTAAAAAAAACACCAAAAAGGTCCACAAAGAAGTTCCAGTGTTTGAATGATTACAGACAGAAAATACTTGCAAATGATATCTTTAAATAATTCTGCAGACCAGAAAGAGGATCATCCTGGTCGCTATTTCATTCTGGTCGCTATTTTTTTTAAATGTTCTTGTTCAACATGAAATCATCAGAAACCCATGTTTGGCTTGAGTTTGAAAGAAAGTATGCTTACTGTTCCAGCGTTTGATATCTAAAGTATGCTTACTGTTCCAGCGGAGCTATCTAAAGTGTGCTTACTGTTCCAGCGGAGCTATCTAAAGTGTGCTTACTGGTCCAGCGGAGCTATCTAAAGTATGCTTACTGTTCCAGCGGAGCTATCTAAAGTGTGCTTACTGTTCCAGCGGAGCTATCTAAAGTGTGCTTACTGGTCCAGCGGAGCTATCTAAAGTATGCTTACTGTTCCAGTGGAGCTATCTAAAGTATGCTTACTGTTCCAGCGGAGCTATCTTAAGTATGCTTACTGTTCCAGCGGAGCTATCTAAAGTATGCTTACTGTTCCAGCGGAGCTATCTAAAGTATGTTTACTGTTCCAGCGGAGCTATCTAAAGTATGTTTACTGTTCCAGCGGAGCTATCTAAAGTATGCTTACTGTTCCAGCGGAGCTATCTAAAGTATGCTTACTGTTCCAGCGGAGCTATCTAAATTATGCTTACTGTTCCAGCAGAGCTATCTAAAGTATGCTTACTGTTCCAACAGAGCTATCTAAAGTATGCTAACTGTTCCAGCGGAGCTATCTAAAGTATGCTAAATGTTCCAGCGGAGAGCTATCTAAAGTATGCTTACTGTTCCAGCGGGGCTATCTAAAGTATGCTTACTGTTCCAGCGGAGCTATCAAAAGTATGCTTACTGTTCCAGCGGAGCTATCTAAAGTATGCTTACTAATCCAGCGGAGCTATCTAAAGTATGCTTACTGTTCCAGCGGAGCTATCAAAAGTATGCTTACTGTTCCAGCGGAGCTATCTAAAGTATGCTTACCAATCCAGCGGAGCTATCTAAAGTGTGCTTACTGTTCCAGCGGAGCTATCTAAAGTATGCTTACTGTTCCAACGGAGCTATCTAAAATGTTACTCTGGTTTTTCTTCACAGTCGTGTGGTCATGGCTTAACAGTGGAATAGGTGTCACATCATTACCACCTTCATCAATCACCTGTAAATCATGGATATATATAAAACCGATCAAATCTATACTGTTTTAGTATAAAAGTCAGTACAGCATCACATCAATTAATGCACTGGTTTTTATCCGATTATAAAAGGTACCTGAAAATTTTCACTTTAGAAGATATCATATTTTCAAATATTAGCAATTTTCACACTAATTAAATTAATTACATTATTTCTTATTTTAACAGTAATAGCAGCTTATATATTTGTATTTCTCATTACCTATTGATGTTTAAAAACTCAATTATCATTTGTTTTATGTTGTTGTTTGTACCTGGACAGGAGGTTTCCCTGCCATTGAAGCTTTTTCAGCTTCCCTTGCGGCCATACTTTTTCGACTTGCTGATGACAAGATATTTGACCGTGATCTTGTGCTACCGTATACTCCAGTATTTCCACCATACTTGCTCTTTGATACAGAGCCAGCAAGGTTTCCTTTCCTGGAGGCAGTGCTGGCACCTTGACCGCTACCTCTGAATAAAGAGAAAATATCGCTTTTATTACACACAAGTTCTACAAGAAATGTCAATTTTGTTCCATATGTGTGATGATCGAAGTAACATATATTATGCTGTGCTTTTAAAGGGTCTATTTAGTCAAATGACAACCTGAAAATAAAGCCAATCCTGAAAATATAAATCTCTTAATGAAAGTTTACGTAGTTAATAATGACATGACCTGAAGCCAACGTCCAGTGTGGTCAGTTACCTCTTTTGGGAAAGTCGGTGATAAAAATAGCTACGGCCAAAATAGCGCAATAACCTGCCTGGGCCTTTCAGTGAGAAGTTGACACATATAGCACTATGCTGTCAAAAACACAGTGTCAGTTATGAGTCTGAGCTTACAAATAGCACATTCTTGAATTTACACAATACACTGTACATCGCAAGTAAGAATTATAAGTATCATAATATATATCTCTAATCAGATGTCTGTTCACATTTGGATTTGAATAAAAACAAACAGGTTCAATTAGACCATGCTGGCATTGAGAGGGTGTCGCAGGGATAATTTCAAACCGCAGAAAGTATGATATCAATAGGCTTTTAAAACATAAAAAAGATCACTCATTTATAACGATGTTTGAGATGCTGTTGGAAGATGATTTTGATTCAGAATATATGCATGTACTTGTATTCTGAGAGGCTAGGTGAATAAACCGAAAAGTTACCTTCTCTCCTCGGCTGGAAAGACATATTTGTTATCTAGAAATTCACCGACAGCTGCTGCTTAAACGTACGGCTGTACAGTTAAGGATTTCTCCATTACTGATTAAAAATGCCAAGAAAACATTGTCTCTTGTCAATTTCTCGACATGAATTGTTCATAAGGAGTATCAAACTATATCATCATGGAGAATTTGGTGACAAGATTATTTTAACAACTTACTTCACTAAATTGTCCCTTTAATATATATCATATATTGCTGGTATTCTCTAAATCAGTAGTCTAGATTAAAATTAAATATATATTCTATATATCTGTAAAAAATATAATGCAGCATAGCATCTTGATCTTTCATGACATCACCAGTAACTTAAATATTCACAAAAATAATTTCCACAGAAAAATTGCATCTCAGTAAATCTTCTTATGAATTAATAAATCGCCAACATTTATTAATACTAATATCATTTGATCATCAAGATTATAGATATTCTCTATATCCTGTTATTCCAGCTGCAGACACAGGGTTCAGCGCTTCCAGTGATACTGTAGTATGAACGTCAGTCTAATAGTGACTATATGCTACTGTACCAGTCATAAAAAATCAACGTCAACAATATGGCTTTGTGAATCATCAAATCTCACTAGTTGTATGGAAAATTATACTATCATATTATTTGAAATGAATATGAATATTCCTTTCCAAAAGGTTCTTTATAATGAATAAATGATACAGAAATACATAATTGTAGTACAATTAAGTTCTTAAAACTCTTTATATTAAAGCCGAATTTCTATTGCAATATGCTATAATGCCCCTAAAGTTAATTTCATGTTCAGGATGTATATTTCAGGAATTCATGGATTAGCTACATTGACATATATTTTCAAATTTACTGTACTGAAGCAATTGCTTATAACGTTATGACATATTTGGTTTATTGGATTTATAAACAAAATTATCATTGATCAACATTCAAAATCATCATAAATCTGCAAATAAAAACAAAACAATTGTTTAATTATGTCATGCATACCCTGGTTGCGCTAAATAATTAGGCTTCTTCGATTTTGACGTTGACATTGTCACTGATGAATTGGTTTTGCGTTTTCAAACCACAAACTATATGACAACAATGTAGCTTGTAGATAATCAACAGGGCATCGCCATGTTCAAAGTTGTGTCATGTTGCTATAGGAAACCAAGTGCCGTATGCAAGCAAGACTTTGATTGGTTAACTTAGTATCTCCCTTGAGATAATTTGAACTGCAAAATGGTATTTCAAACAGATAAATGAACAACAGGCCATTAAGCATGCAAAATATATAAGATATCCTTCCACTTTGAAGATTTTTAACTTTAATTAAATTGCAAATATGTCAACATTTCCCCGTAGTTTGGTTTACAGTCAATATATACCTTATCCAATCAGAAAAGCTGTAGCATGACAATTTATAGCGGCAGGTAGTTGTTGCCTCGTTTTCGATTGTAAGCGACGTATCCCATAATTTCTAAGCAAAATGGCGGAGGTAAGTGAGGAAAAGAACCGAAATATCTCAAGGAATTTCCCTTAGATTTCTTGTCTCACATGATTTTGAATTTCGAGACCGATGGATTCTTGTTCCGTGAGATATTAACTTCTTTTACTGTCGATTTTTGGCTGTTTAGACTCGATTTCGCTTGGATATTTACAATTGAATTATGGCGCGCTCTCGATTAAAATTTTGACATCGCAATCGCACCGCGAAGTAAAGGAATTTCCCGGAGTTTTTGCCTTATTGATACATTAATAAGAACTCATAATGACATTCTTTTTTATTTTTCACCTTTACAGACTGGTGCGAGCGATTCCAGCAGCCCAGGTAAGTGTTTGATACCAAGAAACGAGATTTATTACGTTTCTTATACAAAATGAAGATATTTTATGCAAATTACCGGGGTCATCGTGATGCTGGAAAGAAAAGTTTCATTGGAAACTAATGTGACAATATGTCACAATAATGACACATTCTTGTGAACATTGTCACCGAATTACAAAGTAAAATAGTTCTACCGTATGTTCTTAGAATGAAGCCGGTGAATCCCTGCTGTCTAGAGGCTTGCATTGAGTACCGGTACCGGTGTCGTCTTGGGAATTTACTTGATGAGAAGGTCGAGAAGCCAAAGAGAAACTTTCCGTTTTTCAATGAAATGAAATCGGAAACAATGATTTTTAAACATGATATAATTGTCATTTTAGACCCTGCTCTGTGTTGTTAAAATAATTTCCTATTTTCAAAGATAACCGACATTTTTATGCAACAGGTTTTGAAGGCTGGGTTTTGAATAATGACATTTCACTGGAATCCTCAACTAGTTCGGGCTAAATCTCTACTATGATCTTCATTATTTTATTTATGGACAACTTAAATGTATTGAGGAAGGTATAAGGATATATTCTAGATTGACAGATTAGTCTAGATAATGATGGAGATGTTTTTGTGTTAGAGATCTCAGCATACATTAAATTTTGTTAAATCTATAAAATATATAAATAAGAAATGATGCATGCTTCAAATCAAAATGAAGTCGCATACAAGGGGTTTCCCATTTAATTTCAGAATAGATACGTTTGTCCTTTACCGGGTTGGGAACCTGACAGTCAAGATTGTTTCACATTTGTGATGCTTTAATGCACTTCTTGTCCTTTAAAAAAAAATCTAAATTTTGTATTTGACTTAGTTCTTTTGAATTAAAAATAATTATATATCCATTATTTACAATAAGTAACTTTTAGTTTAATGCTTTTTATTTCTGATGTATTCTTTTGACATTTAGTGCCTCAATTCAACTGGCCTTTAAAATGTTAACATACATTCTTTGAAGTGATTTGAATTTGAATGTGTAGGACTACTGAAGTGCTTTCTATCATATACTAAAAGGGGTTCTCTCAGATGCGAGATCTCAGAAAGTTGAGGAAATTGCTAAACACTTTGTTTATATGTTGACACTGAATATGATTAATTAAATATTATAAATCTGAAGAACATTTTGAGTTTAGCTTGCCATCATTTGTTCACAAATCATTTAAATATAAGTATAAGCAAGGCTTATCTAGTCTCCCACAACCACCACCAATATGTATATATTTTTCTTAGCCAGTTCTGATTTAAGAAAAGTATGAAAAAGAAACAAGTTGCTAGATAATTTTTAAGTTTTGGAATATTTAGGATGGCTTAAGGTAATAACCTGCATTTTTCAGAAACCGACCGCGATTTTGACCCATCTGCTGACATGCTAGTCCATGACTATGATGATGAACATACACTGGAAGAGGAGGAAGCCATGAGTGGGGACAGCTGTTCGAATGAGCTAGATGATCTGGAAAGAGTAAGCACTATGTTTTGTACAGCTTTAAAATGATAATTTGTTATGTTGATGAAAATGGTTTCATGACTTGTCATTCTTAGTTTTGCACAAGACGTTGGATGGTCAACTTTGATCTTTTATGCCCCTGTCATAGGGGGAAGCAGGGTTTTGGGTGTGTGTGTATTGGGCGTATATGAAAAGAGTATTTTAAACGTGATAGTGAAACATTGAAGGAGTATGTTACCAAAAGTTCATAATTTTGCAGGGACATTTACAGATTAAGTTGTTAAGTACAACTAAATCATATGTGCTCAAGTGCTTGTGAAATGACATCAGAAATGTTGAACATCAAATTTGTATTCTAGGAAGGAGATATGCCTTTGGAGCAGTTGTTAGCCATGTACAAGTACGCTGACGAGCCACAGGATACACGTTCAAGCAGTGAAGAAGAAATCCTCAGCAATCAGGATCTGACATTGGACAAAGAGGAAATAGCCCGCGATCTACTCAAAACCAGCGATGATGATGATGACAAGGAAACTACAGTTAATGACCTGCTAAACAGTGTTCATGTGTCTTCTGCACAGAGTCAGACAAACAGGCTTCTTAGATGTAAGATTGCGTTTATTGTAGATATCAGTCTGAATGTCATTGATTTATTTAGGTATCAGAGACTTTCAAAGTGTTGCACAACTAACACAAGGCATAGTAAAAGGAACTTCACAATAAGATGCCATCTGAATTCAAAAGAAAAAACTAAGTGCTTTACATGTTATATTTTGATTTCTTAATTGCTTGAAGAAAATTTAAATTACTGCTAGAGCAACTTTTAACATAATGGTGAACAGTTTGAGACTATAAAATCTTTCCACTTGGGTCAAGAGTTTCTGTCTTGGCCCATAAAATGTGAAAGTTTGCCTTTTTCTCTCATACATCAAAAAAATGTTTTAACCAAAAATAAAAGTTTCTAGTGATATCAGTATTAATGGAATAGTATAATGCATGACTGCATAATGTAGAGTTAGTGTAAAATAAAGATTCAATTTGGCTTATATTTAATTCCTAGACAACCTTTCTTTTGATTCCCTTGTAGCCAATAGTCAAGATGGTAGTGAGAATGAGGAAGACGAGGATTCTGAAGAGGACAGTGATTACCACCAACCCATAGAAATTGTTGACGATTGGAAAAAGGTGCGTCTTACATGAGAAATAAGGAAGCAAAAGTTTTATTAGGAAGCATTTTCTGGTTTCTGTTTGATGTTGTATATGTGAACTTCATTTAATTTTTTTATTAACTATAAAATCATTTTGTCATTGCAGACGATCCAAGTTGGCTCTGATTATCAAGCTAGTGTTCCAGAGGGTCTTTGCAAATACGGTGATGCTCCTGGTTAGTACATTTAACATGTTAAGACAAAGATATTACAGATATATTTTTCACATTAAATCACTAACATGACCCTTGACATAATTAATATTTGGCAGAATTCCCTATGTCTACAGATATCAATATCGCTTACTAAATTTTATTGTTCAGTGTTAAAAGTACAGTAGATTTTAAAGGATACCTGTTTTGTTAGAACACGTTTTACCAAAGAAAACCTGCTCCCCTCTCCCTAAACATCCTAGATATAAATGTGTACCCTAGTGTACTGTAATAGTCTTTTGGTTTATTTTAACCAAATACTTTCATCTGGTAAAGTTCTGTATAAAAATGAATCTTATTTATTTTGCAGAAGACGTTTTGCTAAGATATATCTATCAAATTGTTTTAAGATAAGAAAGTGGTAACAATCTGTTTGGTCTTTAAAAAGGTGTTTACATTATGTTATTTCACTATGTCTTATCTTTTGTCAACAGCTTATGAAAATGAAGATCGGTTACTATGGGACCCCAACAAACTGACAGATTCTGTTGGTAAGTTATGTTCTATAGGTATCATTTCATGACAACTATTATGTGTCCCTTTCGAGATATTTTTTTAAAACTTCAGGTAATATTCTGGTGACGGAGTTCTCTGATTTTTTTTCATTGATTTAATGGTGTTCAAAACTTGAGGGAAATTTTTTACAACTGTAAAAGAAAAAGTGTTAAACTAGAATGAAATAACTGAAGTGTCATATTTTGCAATAATGCAAAAAATTTCAATTGTAATCTGGTTTTATGACTGAATTGATATGCATTTCAAATTGTATTACGGTCCCTTTGTTGCAAAGTGAATCTTTTGTCGTCATTTTTATCTGTTAAAATTTTTGTCTGCTTGCAGTTGAAAAATACCTAGATGAAATTCACACCCAGTCGTTAATCAACGCCGCAGGTGTGGAGGCTGTGGGTACTGGTATACATATCCGAGATGATGAACAGGTGGGTTTACCAGAATACATTGAAATAGAAACACACTGATACTGCTAAGTAGAGAACACGTTTAGTAAAGTGAATATGGCAATGTCGCCATTGAAAAACAAGAATGTACCAACTGTAGAATGAAATATGTCATTCTCATTGTTTTCAAGTCTTTGATAATAGTATGGTGCAATTTATAAGAATATGGTACTGTAAGTGTATGGGCCACAACATATGAGTTGGTTTACCCTTAAATACATGCAAGTGAATAATCACAAAATAACCTTCCCTGATTATATCTCCTTTAATCATCATTAGATGGCGGGCTACCAAGTCTGTGGTCTGTTGTTGGTCCTTAATACAAATCTCAAGCATTACTTGATAGACCTTTGTCAAATTCCATATGAAGGTTCCACTTGGTATATGGTTGTGTATGTTATATTACGAGACTGATCAGGTAAACAAGATGACCTTAGGCAGGCATCTTTGATTCTGTAAATTAAAATTTGTAATATTTATCTCATAAGTCCTTACAAATCCTTTAAGTTTTGTGTAGCTTCCTCGTGCATGTTTCATGAGACTGATAAAGAAAAAAAAAAAAAAAAAAAAAAAAAAATAGATGGCTGCCTGTCAGTCATCTTTGATTTTGACAGTTCAAATTTGTTGTAGCAATTTCTCAAGAAGTGTTAGATGGATCTTTTCTAAAATTTCATATGGGAGTATTTTGGTATGGCTCTGTCCAGCGTAAACTTTTGTTTTTCCGGCAATCTCCTCCTACATTTTTCGACCAATCTCTTTGAAATTTGGTATATATTATTATCATGATATGAAGTTGTGTCCCCCTTAAAAGCATTTTGATACGACAATTTTTGCAAAAGCTATTGCCCTTAGTTCATTTCAGTATTTAATTTTTTTGTCCACAGATTTTCTCCTACATTTTTTATAGCATGTCAGCTAAGAATGATGCAGATCTTATTTCAATGTAAGAAAGTATATAACACTATATGGCATTAGACGGGCGTATATTGTTCCGCCCTGTGGTACTCTTGTTTTATTATTGAAAATGTATGCCAGTTTTTGCTGAACAAGTCTTCATTCCAAATATCACTTTCAGGCTTTATATTTATTACTGCAATGTGGACACAATGTGGAAGAAGCACTTCGTAGAAGGAAGATGCAGGCAGTTCCACCCACAGGTAAGTCTAGAGACAAACCTCCATGAATCAAAGTTTCATGAGCTATTTAAGCTATGCAGCTCAGAATATTTGGATATTTCATTGTATAACCTCTTCTCTTGAATTGAATTAGAATGTGCATGTCAAAAAGTAAAACAATTTAATGAAAGAAATTACTGCATATTAATGATTATGCATAAATGTATTGCAAAAGTTAATATAAATTATTGTATCACCTTAGATAGTTTCATTTAGTTGAATATAATTTTGAAATAGAAAAGTTAATTTATTTCAAGACATTTTTCATCTATTTGCAGATCCTATGAGTTTATGGTCTGAAGAAGAATGCAGAAACTTTGAGAACGGTCTTAGAACTTATGGAAAGGATTTCTACCTGATCCAGCAGAACAAGGTGGGTGTTCATCGAAAAACTTGCGTGGTTAATTTCATGTCATAACTCTTATTAGTTACTTTTCAAATTGTAAAAGACACAATTTATACAGTTTGAAAATGAACAAACTCGAGATAGATGAACATGATAACCAACCATCGTTGTTGGGGAACCTCGAGCTCTACATCTAGTTTATAACCAAAGTTTAAAAACTGTGAAATGCTAGGTAAGAATTGTTTCCCATGAACCTATTGGGAAAACTTGTGTTGCTTTTTCATGTCATAACTCTCATTAGTTAATTTCCCTATTGTAAAAGATACTTTGTAAATTTTGTATCTTGATACAATTTGAAAATTAGCGAACTAGAGTTAAGAGTTTGTTGAGTTTGTCTGATGAAACTGTGAGGTGTTATAGTTGATTTAATTTTAGGCAATGTCACAATGACCGTTCTTTTATGACTATACATTTATCAATGTACTGTTGTTATTTAGGTGAAAACAAGGTCTGTTGGAGAACTAGTACAGTTTTATTACCTTTGGAAAAAGACAGAAAGACATGACATGTTTGCCAACAAGAACAGATTGGAAAAACGCAAATATTCCTTACATCCTGGTGTCACGTTAGTATATCTTCTGCTGTTATATTTTATATGTTCAATGTCTTCATTTTTTCACTAGTTCATTACATATATGTGACATATTATCTTAATGCATAACCCAATATATTGCATTATTATCTTGCATTTGAAATAATTTTGTATGCAATGTGTGAACATAAGTCATACGGTAATTCTTTGCAGAAGCCCTGAATAACAAATACTAAGAAGAGATACAAGTTTGATATATATTTTCCTATGTTTAAATGCCATTTGCCATTTCTCATGGTCAACACTTTGAATATCATTTTGGTCCTTTTGATGTATTTTGTATAAAGTAGATAGTATATGCAAAGTAAGTAGACTTCAATTTTTATTTTGGTGTGTAATTCCATGAAGCTAAATTTTGGAGCTGCCGTGTAGAAAATGATCCTATCACGTTTTAACGCATTTTCATTGATATACAAGCATTACTTTGTGTACCTAGCTAGCATACAGTATTTAATTTGTCACCTTGTTTCACTCAATCAATAGGGATTACATGGATCGGTTCCTGGATGACCAGGAGAGTCCGGCTGCTGCACATGTAAGGGAGAGATCAGCAAGTCCTGTCAATTCACTCATCTATGGTGATCCAAAAAGAAACCAACTGAAACCTCCTTCATCAGATACAGACACCTCTTCCAATTATCATATTGGTGAACCCAAAGACTTTGATCTCAGTGCTGCTTCTCCAACTGTTGTTCGTCCCGAGATCAAGAGGCACAGTCCCTCTTCTCCTCGAGGCACAAATAATGTACTTCGTGTGTCACCTGGCTTTAATGGCAGCTTTGATGAAGTGATAGAACCACTTAACAAAAAAATAAAAACTGATTCAGAACATTCACATTATGAACTCCAGGAGTCGTATTCGGACAACAATCATATAGATTCTATGTCTTTAGTTTCTGTAGCCTCAGGACTCACTCAATCAGAACACACTTTAACATCCGTTGGTGCTTTAAATGCAGAACTTCATCCAGTCAAGCATGCATCAGCAGAGTCGGTGGTACTGTGATGTTGTCTCCAGTTAGATTAGATAGGCTTTAGATATATCAAATTTTGACATCAGAAAAGAAGAAAAAATGTACTTTATTATTACATCAGAGATCCAGTTCTTTAGAGCTTGAAATGACCGATACATTAAAAATTCAAGATTATTTTTTTGGACAATTCTGTTTTTTTACAAGCGACAACTGGTTGTGAAATTTTTGAAAAAATTGAGAAGTTTCAAAAACTTAAAAAGTTTTTATGACAGGCTTGATTTTTATTGATATTTGGTCAAGCTTTATAGAGGTGGGTCTTGGAAGTTTAAAAAAAAAAGAACATGGAAAAATCATTCCATTCAGGGAAATTATTTATACAACCTAGGAGAGAGACCGAGACCAGCCTCGTCTTGGCATCACTTACAATGTGCAATATCGGAGATGATGATCTTTTCAGAAAGCCTGACCGCCCAGCTTTTATTCAGTGTCCAGTGTTCTAGGATCAGGAAATGGCCAGTGGGTCTGTCAGTTTTAAGACCGTCAGTGGTGCATAGATTTTAATGTGACGTCGCGCCCATCCCAGCAGTATGTGTATAATTCTTGTCTTGACAAATCTTATGGAATCTTATGTGGCATCAAATTAATGGTGATTTTCTCTAAAAGCACATTTGTGACATTCACGGTATTGTATGCACAAATATTAAAGGTGATTGAGAATGTGTGTGAACCTTACTTTTATTTGGTTTAATTATGATAGATTTTAATTGTTAAAGGGGAGACGGTGTTCCTGCAATAAAATGATTCCTGTATAGAAGGAGTTAGGTTTCAGTTATAATTTTGCTGTAAACATTGATAATTTAAGGAAGTAAATAAAAACATTTGTCATATAAATGGTAAAGTGCATAAAAAATTAAATTCAAGCTTATAAAACCATATACCAGTAATTGTATGATGGTAGCGTAGCTATAAAAAGTGACATTTGACACGACTTTGTCTATATATACAATAAATGTAACACAAAGAGAATATACAATGATAACTGTATTTATTATCAGTTTGGTTATATGAAAGAGTGATTAAGTTGTTTAACTTTTTAGTGAGATTGGTCCAATCTGAGGAGTTTTATGCAAAAGTGTTAATTGTCGAAGAAATTGTAAATAGTTCTGGTTTGTTACTTGTCCGTATATATCCTACATTTCTCTACCAGTATGGCCTACTTCCTACAGAGTAATATACCGAGTGTGTTATTACAGCTGCTTGTTGATGTGTCCAAATATTTTATTTGTGTAAATGTTTTTATTATGAATTTCTCGCCATGTTATATTTATTGAATTGTTACAGAATTCTGACCATCAGTCTCCATAAATATTCATCACCTAATTATATGGTAAAAGTAAGGTGCACTTTTTTCAGGGATCCAATCCTTCAGATTTTGTGTTTATACTTGTCTTCTGTCACATCAGCAAAATTTCTAATGTGGATTTATATTCTTCCACCATTCATGAATTTGTAAATCTATTGTATTGTCTTATAAACTGAAGACTAGTAAGTTTGAATTGTTAATTCATGTCGACAGAAAAATAGAACCCTGATAGCTGAAAGCATTATCACATTGCCAAATAGGATAAATGAAGTTTTAAAAACCTGCAAATGTTTATCGATGTATTCAATGGTCAAAAACTGGCTTTATTTTTGGCAAAGTCATTTTATGTGCAAAACAATTAATGCTGTCCCACATTCTTAATATATGTATATGTCCCAAATGTCTTAATATATGTGTCGTAGTGTACTTATCATTTAAATGATATGATACGTTAATTATATAGCAACCATTATTGATATCAAACTATCCATGCTAAGACATTCTGTAATTGTTACAAAATTTAGCATAAAATAGTTTGAACATATGCAAGCTTTACATTGACGATGTAACTTTTTAAATTCCCGAGTTTACAGCCCTCTGTACTTGTAGTGGGTATATGGTGAAATTCAAATAATTCCTGGGTCCTGTAGGTATGACCATGTCAAATACTGATGTAAATCTCCTGTCGTGGCAAGTATGGTTTAGATTCTTTTAGTTTTAATCCAAGGTAGAAAATAGATTCCTTTAATTGTAACTGAAATTTAACACATTATTTCACAGAATTGTCCTCCGAGCTTTGAGGTCTTCTAGACATCAGATATATGTTACCTGTAGGTAGAAGCATATCAATTGCAAATTGAAAATGGCACTCTTTAACTTTAGAAGAATCTTGTACAATCTTCAACGAGTGACAGTCGTGTAATTCTTTACCATCATGCATGTCATAAGTGAATTTTATGCTTTTTTCTAGTTAAAAGAAAGAATTTTCCTTCGCCTACTATACATATGAAAATAATAACCTTGTGTCGTGATGTGAGTTTGGTATACATGAAGAGCCGATCAGGGCAATCGAGAGACATGCTCACCTGGGCAGCATTGTATCTAGTGCTCCACTCCAGTCATTTGTTTTTATATCTTTGTCATAATGTGTCTTCTCAGCCTACTTTTCATCATTTCAATAGAGTAAAAAAGTTTTTCTCAACTTAAATTGTTAAATTACAACATGGGAAAGTGGGAGGGATTGCCTTTTTTTCTGGTAAAATCTGTCCCATAAATCATGTAAATAAGATATATATCATAGTGTCACAAATGTAAATACAACATTAATCGTTCTAGAAATTGTGTTGTGAAGTTGATACTGAAAGTAGCATATCCTTAAAAAATGTAAATTAATGATTATATACAAATCTTTGAAATAGTATACAAGTCTTTCTTAGGTTTCTTGCAGTGCAAGCTGTATTCTCTGCTGAGGACTCATTATTTACAAAAAAAATCAATGATTGAATTGTCTTAATTGATTTGTATGTATGATTTCAAGCCAGTTTTATCAAAATTTACTTTCAATATTGGTATAAATTTGGGTTTGATATTACTTTAACGATGATGAAGAAGTAACAAAAGGAATGATTTCACCAAATTTTGTATTTTCTTCATTAATTTCAGTATCTGGGAGGGTGAATTCACACATTCTCAGCATCACATACTGCTACAAAATGTTTATTTGTTGGGTTGATGTCTCTAAAATTTGCAATATTTATTACAGGAATAATGTAAAAATTATGTTTATTTTTGTACAAACAGACTGTACATAACTGCTAATTTTGCTGTACAATTGTAACCCGGTATAATTATTATCCATTTCATCATTGGTTATCATTATATATCAATGTATATATTCTCCATCACAATCACCCTCATATCCATAGTGTTGTAGATATTGTCAGAAGTATACATAACATATGGTTTGTACTATTTATTATGTACATAGACATAGATAGATTCTATGCCACACAGAAAATAAAACATTTTTACAGAAAGAAACCAGAGTTATTTGTCTTGTGTCTTCATTTTATCCTACAAATATCTAACAAAACCTGTAGAAACTTAGTTCCCAATCAGTACTATGAAAGGAGACTAAATGAATTGCTAATATTTGTCCGTCAGATTTTTGTCTCTTACACAGGACAAATCTCGCACTACACCTACAATTACCAAGTTTAGTATGCAATTTACCCAGGTCTTCTTGTGACGGGCCATCTGACTCTTCAGTATGATATCACTGCTGTTTATAGTGTTTCTGACCTTAAATAAGTCATAATAGTACTGCATATACAATAACGAGGATCCTTATTTTTAATATTTTGTACTTTCTTTCATTACTTTAGTAGAATACATTGGTGTTTTTCACCCAAATATGAAAGAAGAAAAAAAATCACGTTTTTGTACCCAAATTCCCTTACAGTGAATGTAAATACTGTCGAATTTGTCTGTAGGAAATCTGACATGATGGACATCGATTCACTCTGCAGCTCTTTCTCTTAGGCATATATCTTGTAACTATATGCGTGTCGCCTACAATTGCTTAATTTTACGCGTGAAAACTTTTTTGGGATGTCTCGGCATGTGCGCTGAAACTTTCTCATGCTCCACTGTGTAAGAGTTCTGGCCCTTCATTACTGTGCTACATATTTCATACACTTAATCAACTTACTACAGCTGCAAACTTTTGTATTTTGACCCAGATGATTCTAAACTTCCATCTTGAGTTACCTGTTTTTCGGATATGAGATTGGACACTTACTAATTTTAATATTGCCTATTAACCAGTAGAGGACTTGGGCTTGCACTGTATTATTCTTCTGCTTTATTTGAAAATGGAATTGTCCTATAGAACACAAAGTTATCAACATGATCTTTGTAACCTTACAAAACCCACCAGGATAGGATTTAGTAACCTTTACAAACTGTCTGTTCCATGATTGGGTGAGGGAGTCTCATAATGTCTATTTGTTGGAGGGATCCATCAGTGTAGGAGAGTGAGTCTCACAATGTCTATCTGTTGGAGGGATCCATCAGTGTAGGAGAGGGGGCCTCACAACGTCTATCTGTTGGAGGGATCCATCAGTGTAGGAGAGGGAGTCTCACAATGTCTATTTGTTGGAGGGATCCATCAGTGTAGGAGAGTGAGTCTCACAATGTCTATCTGTTGGAGGGATTCATCAGTGTAGGAGAGTGAGTCTCATAATGTCTATCTGTTGGAGGGATCCATCAGTGTAGGAGAGGGAGTCTCACGATGTCTATCTGTGGGAGGGATCCATCAGTGTAGGAGAGGGAGTCTCACAATGTCTATCTGTGGGAGGGATCCATCAGTGTAGGAGAGGGGGCCTCACAACGTCTATCTGTGGGAGGGATCCATCAGTGTAGGAGTGGGAGTCTCATAATGTCTATCTGTGGGAGGGATCCATCAGTGTAGGAGAGGGGGCCTCACAGGGTCTTTAGGGGGGCATCAGTGTAGGAGAGGGAGTCTCACAATGTCTATCTGTGGGAGGGATCCATCAGTGTAGGAGAGGGAGTCTTACAATGTCTATTTGTTGGAGGGGTCCATCAGTGTAGGAGAGGGAGCCACACATGGTCTATATGTGGGGAGGGGGATCAATCAGTGTAGGAGTGGGAGCCACACAGGGTCTATCTGTGGGGGAGGGATCCATCAGTGTATTAGAGGGGGCCTCACAGGGTCTATCTGTAGGGGAGGAATCCATCAGTGTAGGAAAGGGGCCTCACAGGGTCTATCTGTGGGAGAGAGATCTATCGGTGTAGGAGAGGGAGCCACACAGGGTCTATCCGTGGGGGAGGGATTCATCAGTGTAGGAGAGGGGGCCTCACAGGGTCTATCTGTAGGTGAGGGATCCATCAGTGTAGGAAAGGGGTCTCACAGGGTCTATCTGTGGGGGAGAGATCTATTGGTGTAGGAGAGGGAGCCACACAGGGTCTATCTGTGGGGGAGAGATATATCAGTGTAGGAGAGGGAGCCACACAGGGTCTATCTGTGGGAGAGAGATCTATCGGTGTAGGAGAGGGAGCCACACAGGGTCTATCTGTAGGGGAGGGATCCATCAGTGTAGGAAAGGGGCCTCACAGGGTTTATCTGTGGGGGAGAGATCTATCGGTGTAGGAGAGGGAGCCACACAGGGTCTATCTTCGGGGGAGAGATCTATCAGTGTAGGAGAGGGAGCCACACAGGGTCTATTTGTGGGGGAGAGATCTATCGGTGTAGGAAAGGGAGCCACACAGGGTCTATCTGTGGGGGAGAGATCTATCAGTGTAGGAGAGGGAGCAACACAGGGTCTATCTGTGTGGGAGAGATCTATCGGTGTAGGAGAGGTGGCCACACATGGTCTATCTGTGTGGGAGAGATCTATCGGTGTAGGAGAGGTGGCCACACATGGTCTATCTGTGTGGGAGAGATCTATCGGTGTAGGAGAGGGAGCAACACAGGGTCTATCTGTGTGGGAGAGATCTATCAGTGTAGGAGAGGGAGCCACATAGGGTCTATCTGTGGTGGAGAGATCTATCGGTGTAGGAGAGGTGGCCACACAGTGTCTATCTGTGTGGGAGAGATCTATCGGTGTAGGAGAGGGAGCCACACAGGGCCTATCTGTGGGGGAGAGATCTATCGGTGTAGGAAAGGGAGCCTCACAGGGTCTATCTGTGGGGGAGAGATCTATCAGGGTAGGAGCGGGAGCCACACAGGGTCTATCTGTGGGGGAGAGATCTATCAGTGTAGGAGAGGGAGCCACATAGGGTCTATCTGTGGGGGAGAGATCTATCGGTGTAGGAGAGGTGGCCACACAGGGTCTATCTGTGTGGGAGAGATCTATCGGTGTAGGAGAGGGAGCCACATAGGGTCTATCTGGGGGGGAGAGATCTATCGGTGTAGGAGAGGTGGCCACACAGGGTCTATCTGTGTGGGAGAGATCTATCGGTGTAGGAGAGGGAGCCACACAGGGTCTATCTGTGGGGGAGAGATCTATCGGTGTTGGAGAGGGAGCACCAGCTAACACAGGTTCCAGCTACCACTTGGTCAATTATGTTACTTGATTTAAACAAAAAACACAAAGACTAGAGCTACATAAATATATATGTATTTCATGTAATTCATGAATTTGGTAAAACAAGTGCGAATAAAATTAATATTTTTTAAACATATTCCCCCTAAAACAATCTTTTTGAAAATTGATTGAAAATTGAACGGACAATTGAACGGACTATTGGCCAGTAAGCCATTCTACAGAATAGACTTGGTATTATATAACACATCATACAGAATCTGTTCAGACCTGTGTAACAGTACAATATTTCAACTAAGATTACCGTTAACATGATATGTCCTACATATTACTTCAACATTCATTTAAACATTCAACATAATACACATGTACAAAGTTTGTTAACTTTACACACTTAAAACACAACATGTATTTAATACGAAGCAAGTCGAGCTTCATCAATTAGTAAAACTTATAAATAGCATACAACTTCATTTACTTCATATATTAAATTAAACCATAACTCTTACATATGTGTAATATCTTTTCCTTGCATGATCAACTGTATTCGACAAATAAAAGAGCTTTACTTGTATCTTTAATATTGTATTTTCGAAGATGTAGTAAAAAACGATATATATTTCATTAATCATAGAGTTACATATTTGTATATCAGAAGTTCTATGTTTCATTTGATTTTGTCATAGATGAACAAAACAGAAGCATAAAATGCTGTAGTTTAAGTGTTCTCTGTTGCATCAAATTGATGGATTTTGAGCAAAAAGCAAGAGTTACGATATTTCGCTGATGTTTGAGTCGCCCTCCACACTATGGAGACTTTGCCAGTATGCTATATATATATAGTTATGGACTAGATAATGCTGTTTGTTTACCTGTACTAATCTATGATCAAATAAATCTATAAAAATAAAGCATGATTGTTTGATGAAATATTAAGAATGCAACGAGGTCACATCCTGATCACATCACAAATATACCAGGTGTATTGATTGTTTTTTTTTATCAGAATTGAACACAAACATTTATTTACTATCCAAATTGGAGATACAAAATTGACCACATGGCAAATTCCCAATTTTGATCAACATATCTGAATAAATTGTCGCCATTGTACTTTCATTACCGGTGATGTACATTATTTCATACTGGTCTTCTGTTAACGTTTCATACTTTTTTCAAACTTATGTTTTGTTTGTTCATTTGTAGAAATATTATTTACTTTCATATTTCAATAAGTTTTTTTTTATTAATGTAATAACCCAGACAAAAAAGTATCCAATGATTTGAAAATGGATTCTACAGAAATCCACAAATCTTTTAACATGCATCGCCTTTGGTTTAATCACCATAGAAAAGAAAAAGAAAAAAAAGAATTTTGTATTTTATGGATTTCTTTTCAAAAAACAAAGAAAAAGCAGAAATCCACCATATTAAATTGGCAGACACCTTCGCCTTGTGCATTGATGATGTGTAATACATGTATAACATTATTACATTTCACACTTGTATTATTTTTGAAAAAAACGTAGCTGTTTTTGAAAAAGTTGTCACTTTATGTACTTATTTATACATGTGTACAAAATCTACCAGAACTATGTCTGTTAGAACCCGTATCGCAATGATTTAATCAACAAATATTATTTTGCTGTCTGTAATTTAAATCTTAAATCTCATTTGAAAAAAAAACACAAGAAAAAATAAATTGAGCATGTCTAGATCATAAATTATGTTTCTAATGATGAATTTGAAGGGAAAAAATGAAATTCGGGAAGTTTGGATACATCGTTCTTATGCCAGTAGATTACGAGACACCTTTTTCAAATAAACACCAGTAACTATGATGATGAATATTACGGACTTATTAACATGTCACTAAGTTTGTCATTAGTGGTATAAAAAGTCTTATTAATGAAACATTGTGTACGATCAAAATGTTTTTTTCAAACCCAGTTAACAGTTACACCATCAATAATACATCTACCTTTTTTTCTTCTTGAATCAATACATTTCTGTGACAATAATATGTTTCTTAGATAAATGATAAAATGCTCTTTTAAAAGAAATATCCTCTGGTTTACATCACAAAGTTCTACATCTCTAATGAGAAAGTCTATATATAGAAATCTACATAAGTTTGTAACAGTAAAATATATTATAAAACTTTATCGTCTAAATATTTTATTATATGATTGATACAATAATTCTACATAACTGAAATTGATTGTTCATAACTGATGATCAAGAAATCATTTTCTTGGTATTTTTTACAAATCAATACTTTTTTATAGTCATATAGCTCTTTGGTTTTTTAGTAATCATTTATCTACGGTAATAGAAATCATGACTACCCTAGCTTAACATTAGTGTATACATTCTTATGTACCTTTCAATTCTGTCATCAAGGAATAAACCAATTCAAAATTATCCATCAATCTTTTTTTGTCCCAAGTTTCAAAGAGTGAAACTCGATCTTCTTAAAAGAGAATAGATGTCACAACAAAATTATTTGTTTAGGATCTTTGTCCCGCCATAGGCAAAACACATAGAGACTTCACCCTGTTTCCTCGTTATTACAGTAATCTCCCCTTAATTTCATTTTTGTATATAAGTGTAGCACAGTGAGGCCTTAGTATTTCTGTTGACCAGATAGCTCAGTTGGTGAGTGTAACAGTATAACAACGTAAGGTCTAGGTTCAAATCCTGGTAAAGCCACATTGAATTTTCACCGCAGAACAATACTGTTGATTACATTTTATTTATCTCATCTTTATTATTTTTTCTTAATATATGTTTTTCTTTTCATTAATGATTAGTCAAAGCTTTAATCATGACGAAAATTGAAAAAAAAAAGTTTCTAATACACTGTAACAGTTTAAGGAAATGGTATGAGGATCCTTAAAAGAAACAGATAATTCAGGCTCCAGTTAAGGGAAGTCACATTTTTAAAAGTAAGTTGCTAAAGCTTGGATAATTCAAGCTAAAATTAGTGAATTCAAATTTTTAAATACATGTGTACTTCTTTAAACATTGTCTGCAGAGACGAATACTGTAAAATCCCCAAAAGGCTTTTAAATTTTAATGCATTGTTTTAAAAACTCCTTTTTTTATATAAAGAAAATCTGGATAATTTGCACACTTTTTCTGTATTTGACTTCAAATAGTAGTTTTGAATCCCTAAATGTGTTAATTTAGTTTGAAACTAAACTAGACAAAACGAATGTGTAAACTGTTAAGCTAACCATGCTACTTGGCACTGAAGCTTGTCTCGAAAACAATTATTGAGGTTAACGACAACAGCGTTACAACATTGATCAGGTAAATCACAGTGAATTTGTACTGTTACAGCAGGACACTTCCTATCATTAAGCCTTTACGTACAATATCACTCAAGAAAGGCTACATCCTGTTAATTCTATCAAATGTTATCTCCCTAACAAATCCCACATTTTGCTTGTATCCCCACTAAAACATTATCAACATATTCATGCTGTGGAAATGATAAATCCAACTCAATAAATGTAATGAATTTTAGTATTAATATGATAATTAATAAATCTCTAATAGTATTTAGCTTGTTCATTGGTTAAGGATTATTCCATATTGGTCAATGCCTCCTTTCGAAATTTGTTAGCCCAAAGAAGCATCTAACATAATAAATATAGTATTTCATTGCATTCCATATTAATGATATGAATAAAATAAAATAAAATAATTTGAATGTTAAACCAACAATGTAAAGAAACAGTACCACTCCATATTTTATGAAGCAGCATATATTAGACTAGTACAATTATAATATACTTTAGTAGGCCCTACAACTAAGAATAGGAAACATTATAAATACTATTGCTATGCAATTGTACCTGGTATATGTTTAGAAACGTCCTTTGATTTGATGGGCTCCGTATTTGGAGATAGTTTTACCCTGTCAATAGCTGATGATGTTTTACTGTATCCCAGTGATGACCCCCCAAGTAATTCTCTATCTGTATTAGAAACACTACTAGAGACCTGTCGGTCATTACCGGAAAAAGCACCTACACAGTTGAAAGACACAGGCGAAATAACAGTTGTCTCCCCTTGAGCAACACCCTCAGCACCCTGGGAAGCTCCAGTTGATAATAGTTGAGAATGGAATGTATGACTAGTATTATCAGGCTTCCCTAACTGTGGTCCTTTATATCCCCAGTTCGGAGTAGTCCGACTACTCAGCAAATTTGGGGCACCAACAAATTTCACAGAACCAGTGGAACCCTTTACAGACCCAAGTTCCGAGGATAAAGACAGACCACTGAAAAGTCTACTGGCTTCAAAACTTGGACTAAGGTTAGAGATCTTAGGCTGAGTTATAAGCGAGTCGATAGAGACGCATCTGTCCCCAATCTCTGCTGGTGAAGGAAAGGGAGACAATTTTCCCAGGAGTCTGTCCAATGAGGTAGTGTGTAATATCATGGCCGTTGGGAGGCTACGTCGTCGAATGTATTGAGTATGAGGTAGACTTTCTCGACGAATAGTCACACATGTAATTTCCTTCTGTAAATATACAGGAGGCATACTGTGTCTGCGTATCTCTGGGTTCCAATGATTCTCAGGAATTTCACGCAACGGGGACAGACTACGACAACTGCCCCGCCTACTTTCTGTACCGGATGAACCACACTCATCTTCATTCACCAGATGAGTGAAGGTTAGAGGTAAGCGTGCTTCCTGCACAAAGTCATTTTCCTCATCACTGTTGTTGTTAACTTCTTCTTCCTCCTCCTCCGCCTCCTCCTTTGCTTCCTCTACCAGGTCCTCCTGAATTTCCACCTTATTTTTTTCTGATTCCTCTTTAATAATCTCTTTCCATTGCGCTTGATTTGACTTCAAGTTGCGTAACATTGACTCACTGAGCTTCGTTGGAAGAAACCGGTGCCATTCTTGAAACAAAGGATTTACTACAAATTCTATAAAACCTGCAATACAGAAAATCATTTCTCAGTTTAGGTCCAAATAATGCATACATAGTTGAAATATAGATATTGCTTCGAAACGGCTCACTTTGTTTTAATGGAGTGGCAACCTTCTTTACAAAGTTACCTCTTATAAGTGTCAGCCTACCAAAATAAAAGTTTATTTTCATATAGTTGCTTAATTTTGTTATAAGTGAATGTTTCAATAATTTCCCCCCTACCATGAGGGAATGACAAAGAAATCTCCACGTGAGGGGTAATATTATTGACTGTGTTATCCAAGGCTTGCTGAGGAGTTATAGACATTCAAAAATCTCACGAGAGAGGGTAATACTATTGACTGTGTTATCTGAGGCTTGCTGAGGGGTTATAGACATTCAAAAATCTCAACGTGAGGGATAATATTATTGACTGTGTTATCTGAGGCTTGCTGAGGGGTTATAGACATTCAAAAATCTCCACGTGAGTGGTAATATTATTGACTGTGTTATCTGAGGCTTGCTGAGGGGTTACACCTGTCCCGAATTACAATTACATCCTGACCAATCAAAACACCTGTCCTGAACTACAATAACATCCTGACCAATCAAAACACTTGTCCCGAATTACAATTACATCCTGACCAATCAAAACACCTGCCCTGAACTACAATAACATCCTGACCAATCAAAACACCTGTCCTGAACTACAATTACATCCTGACCAATCAAAACACCTGTCTGTGGTTATTTTACATCATCATATCATGAAGAGGTCCTCACCTGCTTGTATTTTGGCGACTGTGGTAGATTTTCGATCACACATTGGTGTGACAGGGATGTGAAGGCGCTGCTCATAGTCTCCTGTCAACAAAAACATCATTTACTTCAGTCACATTGATGTATTCAACAGAAACATTATTATTGACCTTAGTTAGTAAAGTCAATAGAAAACACTTTCTCTCATTTTTATCTTATACCCCATTTCACATGACGTGACGTCAAAATAGCTCAACAATAATGTGACGTCATGAATTTGGAAAACTTCCATGCCGCAATGCCGAAAAGGCGTCGTGACGAAATTAAAACCTTTAACGATATGTTTACCGTACACGTTAGAAATATGAGATTATTTTTTCTGCACAAACTCTTGTTTGCAATAGAAAATATATATTTCACCTTAGTAAGTACAGTCATAAGAAAATATTCTATCTACCTTAGTAAGTGGTTAATTGAAACTATGATATTTTACCAAATGTATCAAGACTTATCTTGTATGGGTGTTGGTGCCATGAAATATTTCCAAAATAATGTCAAATCAGTCACCAAGTTAGAAAACATACAAATAACCATGGAACCAAAAACAACTTTAGAAATAATCTGGGTTTCATGGATAACCAAAAACTGGGAGAAACCCATAGAAATTGAACCTACCATGTCGGGAAAACTCTGACTTTGTGTACACAGGAATTTCCCTTTACCCTTGAACCTGCCCTTGAACTTACCCTGTCGGAAAAACTCCTCACAAACATGGTCGCTCCACTTACGGCTGATGTCCCATAAACGACACGGGTTGGAAATGTCTGCACACTTTAGAGCTATCTGTAATACAACAAACTCATTTTTTTAACAGATAAAGATGGTTGTATATAGTCAGACAAGGTAGTAGAATCTTCCACAGACATTTCATGAAATAACGTCCTAATGTCACGGTATGATTAATTCCTTTCTCCGCCACACCCCACTAATATCATCTGCCACACCCCACCAATATCATCTGCCACACCCCACCAATATTATCTGCCACGTCCGACCAATATCTGCCACACCCCACCAATATCATCTCCCACACCCCACCAATATCATCTGCCACGTCCGACCAATATCATCTGCCACACCCCACCAATATCATCTGCCACGTCCGACCTATCATCTGCCATGTCCAACAAATATCATCTGCGACACCCCACCAATATCATCTGCCACGTCCGACAAATATCATCTGCCACACCCCACCAATATCATCTGCCACACCCCACCAATATTATCTGCCATACCCCACTAACATCATCTGCCACACTCTACCAATATCATCTGCCACACCCCACCAACATCATCTGCCATACCCCACTAACATCACTGCCACACCCTACTAATATCATCTGCCATGTCCAACCAATATCATCTGCCACACCCCACCAATATCATCTGCCACGTCTAACTAATATCATCTGCAACACCCCACCAATATCATCTGCCACGTCCGACCTATCATCTGCCATGTCCAACAAATATCATCTGCGACCCCCCACCAATATCATCTGCCACGTCCGACCAATATAATGTACCACACCCCACCAATATCATCTGCCACACCCCACCAACATCACCTGCCATACCCCACTAACATCCCTGCCACCCCCTACTAATATCATCTGCCATGTCCAACCAATATCATCTGCCACACCCCACCAATATTATCTGCCATACCCCACTAACATCATCTGCCACACCCTACCAATATCATCTGCCGCCCCCTACCAATATCACACAGATGTTTCATGAAATAACTTCTGATGTCATCACACATTCATTCCTCCCCAACACCCAACCAATCTCACATCAGATGTTTCACAAGTTTACTGTCTGATGTCACAATAAATTCCACACTTGTTCTGCCAAATCCCACCTCATCCCCTTTTCATTATATTTGTCACAGACCTCTGGGCAATACTTAAGTAAAAAGTGAAGAATAAATATGTTTTTACCTGTAACATGAAATGTTGATGTGATGGATTTCTGGCCGAGTCATAGTCTCCACTATCTAGGTATCTCTGTGAACGACACATGAAGATAATTATAATAAAAAATAATCAAAAACTAGCAATTGTATACAAGACTTATGTTATGATTTAGGGTTTAAGTCAGTAAGAAAAGCTACATAATACAGTCTACTAATTAATCCATCTACTCCACATGACAAGACATTCCAATGTTATGTAGGTAGGAACAAACTTAGCTTGAAGACCGTTTACACATGTAGTCTTTTGTTCCATATCAAATTTCAGTCTTTGCATTGAAATTCGCAGGAATCATTCAGAAATGTGAATTTTAGAGATAATTTTTAAATTAATCCCACTTATGTTGCAGAATGATATCAACATAACAAATATTGCAACCGGTGGATAAGCTCCCTGCTCAAAGTACAATCAGCAGGTACATGTATAAATATCTCCTTGATATAGCAAATTGGCAAACAAAGGATAGTGTCTATAAGGTCCTTTTTTTGGCCCCGGTATGTTCAAAGATGTCCTATTGTATGACATGCGGAAAAACCAAGGTAAAACTTTGACCGGAAGTGGGTTTCTGGGTTTCAAAATGAGCTTAAAAACCAAAATAATATCATTTCTGTTTATGAAAACATGTATAAATTAGACAAGCATATGTAACAGAATGAAAAATGACAGAAATCCAGTCATCACTTAAAGATTGTTTATATAAACCGATGGATTAAGACAGGGGGTTGTTTTTAAGAAAACTGTATTTGTGATTTACCCTACCCTTTTGGTACCCCCAGAAACCCACTTTCGGTCAAAGTTTAACCTTAGTTTTTCCACATGTCATACAATAGGACATCATCTGAATATACCGGGGCCCAAAATAAGGCCTTATAGACACTCATCCTTTCAGTCCGGAAAAAAAAGAGAAATAAATATGGAACTCTTCATGGGTAATTCAACAAAAAGCACCAAGACTGTCTACATTAAGGATACTCAGTATGATTTATTAAAATAAATGTTATGAGAGAGAAATAATCACCTATTCCAGTGTGACGCGGACTGAAATCTCTAGTTTATGGATAAGAGGATTGTTGATAAGAAATTAGTAGAGCAACATATGGACTATGAAAATCTGACCTGTTGAGACTTCCATGTCTATATCACACTGGCGTGATAGATTTTATACTCACCTTAAATCGTGTCAAAAACTCTTGTTGACGTGTTATATCGGTGGCCAGTATAAGTGACTTTATTTGTGATTCCAATCTCTCCCTAATTCAAAGTAAAAACAGTAATTTAGAAGTGTACTTAACTCCCCAGTATACTGGTGCTGTTAACCAATCCATCTAAACCGAACATCACTGGTACCATATCATTCGGCCAGTTTGTAGAGAGTCATACCTACCATTTGTACAAAATTGATTTCCCTTCCCAATAAGATGCTACTGTTCAAATTAGGTCAAAATAACCTTCATCCCAATGGAAGAAAAGGGATATTAAAGCTATTCCTCTATATCCCTTATTGGGCCCGCAACTCTGCCCCCGGAGGGGTCAGGCCCACCATTTATTCAATATTGGTTCTCCTTCCGAAGGATGCTTCATACCAAATTTGGACAAAATCCTATCATTCCTACAGCAGAAGAAGGATTTTGAGGTATTTGCTATGTGTCCCTTTTGCCCAAGGAGGCTCCAAACCAAATTGGGATGAAATCCTTTAATCCCTATGCTAGGAGAAGGATTTTAAAGGTTTAATCTCTATTTCCCCTATTTGGTCCCGCCCTTTTGCCCCAGGGGGCCCACACCCACTGTTTATACAAAATTGAGTTCCCTTGCCCCAAGGATGCTCCAGACTAAATAAGGATAAAATCCCTTAATCCCTAGGGTAGAAGAAGGATTTTAAAGGTTTTACTTCTATTTCCCCTTTTTGGCCCACCCCTCTGCCCCAAGGGGGGCCACAACCACCGTTTATATAAAATTGAGTCCCCTTGGGCCAAGGATGCTCCAGAGTAAATAAGCATAAAATCCCTTAACCCCTACAGTAGAAGAAGGATTTTAATGGTTTTACCTCTATTTCCCCTATTTGGTCCTGCCCCTCTGCCCCCAGGGGGCCACACCCACCATTTATACAAAATTGTGTCACCTTGGCCTAAGGAAGCTCCATACCAAATTTAGTCAAAATCTGTTTGGCCGTTCAGGACTAGTAGCGTTTTAAAGGGAAAGTTGACGGACGGACGACGGACGCTGCGGTACGGCATAAGCTCACCAGGTGAGCTAAAAAGTTAAAGGCAAAATTAACACTGGGCGATTTTTGTATTTTACAGGCAAAGGGCAAAAGTTTGACTGGGTGAACATTTCCTGATATACAATATATCATACCCTTCATCTCTTTTGGTGACACTGTAAAATGAACTTTACCGAAAATGGATAAATGACTGGGTAACTAAGTCCCAGATATAGTTTCATGTGCTTACATCCATTCTAGTTTAATACAGAATTTATTAACCGTTATGAATTGTTGTTTATATAAGATGTTACAAATCATTATTAATCTTCATTTTACTGTTTATTACTTACATAAATCATGATATAACATGTGACATGCTAAAAATCTATAATTAGCAGAGCTGCTCTGCAATTTGTCATGTCCCTCCCGATTTTGTAGATCTATACCTGACAATATCAAACCAACCTTAAATTTGTTGAATACCAAGTATTCTTAAAACATATGACCTGCCACCTGCAGAGATCTGTAATTAACCAATATATGAAAATAGAAGGAGAACATTCAACCTTTTTCAACATCACGGTACCATGTAAAAGAGCAACTTGTATCCCTTCAACTGTTTGTGATCTTTTAACCCTTTCCCCATAATGGACACATCCAGATCAATGCATGGTAGAGTCTACTTAAGTAACATAGGGATGAAAGGGTTAAGAACTTGATTAACTTGTTTATGTGGATGTTTTACTCACCATTCCATGGAACTGAAGTGACTTAACAATCCAGTCTCGTGAAGGACTCCAATAGCTGACCTCCAGTGATGGTTCTCCAGCACAGACGTGTTCTTAAATACAAATATATAACAACGTTTTTTACAACATTTTTCTCCAGTTCCGTAAGTATATAGATTGAATAAAGGTTCATATAGTATAAGTTTTCATCTGCTGGATAACCAAACTACTCAGTGGTGAAGCTGACGTAAAACTACTCAAACAACCAAATATAGCACAAACAGTGAACTGTTTATGTTAGATGTTTTAATGACTAATATGATATGAACACTCTCATCTTCATCTGATAAATAGATCGTCACCTATGTACGCTTTGATGTAAAACATGAACCAGATGGCATATAGAATTGACAAGCCTTAGTTTATACAAATTAGAGTACCAAGGATGCTCCACCAAATTTGGTCAATCCTCATTTAGCCACTCTGGACTAGTAGTCTTTTTATGTTTAGTTGACAGGTGGATGACAGACAGTTGAGCTAAAGATTTTGTATTACATGTTCACCATAGAAACCATGTGCCACCATCACCAGACAGAGGAAATAATTTTTTCTATTGCATTGTCATAAATATTTATTTGTGTACTATTTTATTTTTTTGCCAAGGAGATGCTAGTAGAGGAGAAGGACTGAATATGAAATAGATATGAGTGCTTCCATTGTATACTTTGTATTTAAGTGATATTAACCAGGTGAGAAAGATTTTTTATGCTATTCTGGACAGGTGCTCTTTTTTTGTGATACCTACTTCATATAATGCAGCAAGATGATTGGCTGTTGCTATGAGGAACGCTTGATTGACCCCTGGATGATCAAGGTCGTGTGTCATAGCAGCCAGTAAGCAGGTCATGATTTCAAAAGGAGGTATAGTATTCTGTAGCTGTAAAAAAAAAATACAATTGTAATGAGTGATTATCTTGAAAATCGTCATAAATGATTGAATGAATCTATTACCTGTAACTGAGCGAGATTGGTTTATCGTAGTCGAGGGCTAAGATTCTGCAATATAATCTCAACCGAGGTGTAAGCCGCGGTTGGGATGTTACAGAATCTTAGGCTGATGAGACTGATATACCAAACTCACTCGGCTACTGGTAATTGTTTTTACTCGCACCTTTCAGTTTGAAAAACTATTCAATTTCGCTCTTGTCTACAAGTGTCCCTTCCGGGGCCTCAAATAAATATGGCCTCTTCAGTACTAAAGCTACGTTTCAATACTTTCGTGTAAATAATGTTGTCCGTCCTTACAAAGAAGAAAACCGATTTCATTGTGTAAATCATATTTCATTTACAACGATGGGTATCTAAAAGCATCAAAATAATACATATAATAACAAAGCAGACTAAAAAAATTAAGAAACCAGTTATTACAACTTATATTTATCACTCCTGTTGGCCCAAATGTTTGCGCGCTGGGGTCTTCATGTGTGAGGAAACTTGAGTACCTGGAGAAAACCCATGTGGCCGGGCAAGTGAACCCATACGTTTTCATGTCCGATCGAGAAATAGAACCCCGGCCGCCTTGGTAAAAGGCGAGTGCGATATCCACTGCACTACCCGACCACCCAAAAAAAAAAATTGATAATAAGACATTGCACCACTTCTTCCCTATCGCATTGTCTTGGCCAGGATGATATAAAAGTTACGTTTTGTTTCAATTATTTTTAAACCGGAAACCTCTGACATTGTTTGTCATTCTGTCTCATATGAATTAGAAGTTATAATAAATTGATCATCACTCAGAACTTGTGATAAATTGTCTGTCAAATCCTATTAAATGCTATAGGCATGCAACAGTTTTCCATCTTAAACAAAACAATCTGTCTGCGATAACCTTTGCAAAACCAGGAAGCTACACAAAAATATAGGTCAGCTCCATATATAGGTTTCCAGTTTAACTCTTTCCGTACGCACCTCCCACAAGTCTTCATTTTCGCAGCATTATGACTAGCTGGCAGCTGACTATGACTGAAATATCGACATTTGTCCAGCAACGAATATTACGATTCATTGTATTCAAAACAGCGTCGTAGTGCAGGTTCCGAATGGAGATTGATTGAGGTTACAAAGAAGTTAAGGTTTTTCTAAATACAAGCAGGTTTTATCCTGACTTATATTAAAATATCCATAATTACTTCCATAAGTCTCAATAAATATTTGGTGGTGAATATACGAGTGTTCATATCGAATTCAGTAGCCGCCATATTGGTTATATTAGAGATCATTAAACACAGTTTGGTGAGGGTTTGAATAAGACAGGTTTGCTCCTTATACAGGTTTCCAGTAAAAGAAGGGTTTGGTTAAGACAAATTTGCTCCCTATACATGTGTCCAGTTTAAGGAGGGTTTGTTGTAGACAGGTTTGCTCCTTATGCAGGTTTCCAATTTAAGGAGGATTTGGTCAAGACAAGTTTCCTCCTTCTACAGGTTTCCAGTTTTATGAAGGTTTGGTTAAGACAGGTTTGCTCCTTTTACATATTTCCTGATAAAGGAGGGTTTGATTAAGACAGGTTTGCTTTATACAGGTTTTCAGTTTGGGAATGGTTTAGTTAAGACAAGTTGGCTCCAATATACAGGTTTCCAGTTTAAGGAGGGTTTGGTTAACACAGTTTTGCTCCTTTAAATAAAGGTGCTAAGATTAAGGTGGGTTTGGTTTTGAGTCAGCTCCTTTAGTCTCACCTGTTTCTCCTGAAGGTAACAGTGAATGGCTTGGGTTACATCAGCCGCATGAACAGCATTGTGGTAGGGATTGTTGTCATGGTAACCCTCCTCAATCAATGCTGCAGTACAAACAAAACAAAACATACATGTGGATAATGTTTCAGGTTGTAAGGCGGATAACATTTAGGTTTTACATGAATACACTGTGAACAGACTATGGGACTGTCAATGCTCCCATGATGATGATCTGTTCCCACTTGACTGGTTGGAAAACAAAATTTATGTTGATTTATGCAATTGACTTTTTTTTTTTATTCAGATCCTAAAAAAAAGTTGACATAGCACATGAAAAATCTCCCTCTTCTGTATTAAATTTTCTTATCAAGTTTTGTTAGTTTATTAAGATTTTTTTTTGTTTTTGTTTTTTATCAATTGTGCACAATTATAGATTATATACATGAATGTTAAACAGGATCGCCATGAGATACACTTTTTCGTGTGAGGTGCAATAAATTAAAATGTATTGTCATGCAAGCTTTGTATTGCAATAACTTTTGGGACTTAAAAATCTTTACCCTGTTATAGTGCATAGTATATTGTTCTACTGCTGATTACTTTGGCAATGGTGTTTTCATTGAGTACATTAATTATTTACCTGCATCGAAAATTATTAATAAAGTCTCCTGGTAGAAATATACATCTTGCAAAACTTACAAGAGATCTATAGCGATTCTTTACTCGAATGACACTGACCACCAAGCCTAGGGTTGATTGAGAAACTGTTCTGTTAATAACTGGTGTGGAATTTCTTTTTGTTTCTTGTACATCAAGAATAATTTACCACATATTTAGCAATGCAAATACTAACAAAATGTTCTCAGCAGCTTCATAGGATCCAGACTGAATGTCTCTATCAGGTTGTAATGCTGGAACAGGTGGAAAGCAACATGGAACAGCGGTCGACCTGAAACACACAAATTAATACACTACAGGATCAAGCGTACACAAATATTTTATCAACTTTATACACGTTTAGAACAGTGACAAGTACTGTCACATACTTGTCAACTCTCCCTATTTAGGAGGGAGACTCTGATTTCGAACCCTTGCATTTAGTATTTTCAACCAGTGAGTTTGTAAAACTATTTCTATATTCTTAGATCTAAGAAATTAAACCCCAAAAAGAACGACCCAAAATATGTCATTTTAAAGAGTTATTTTGTCTCTAGCAGGTACATTGTATATATACACACATTGGATTGGTGTTATAATTTTGAGCATGCAGAATCTCCCCAGTGGAAATTTCAAAACGTTAACGAGTATATGCTGTCAGACAGCCATATATATAGACAGATGGACAGAAGAGATACAAACTTTAAAATTTACCGCTCTCTACTTTTTAAATCCTCTAATAGCAATGAAAACATTACAGCAGTCACACTAGTAGGTTTGTGTTCCTTTTCATTGAAATCTGTTTTGTAATTTAGAAAAAAAGTATTGGAGACAAAATTGTATGGATGGACAGAGGGACAACCTGATTCCAGAACATGTTCTTTAGTTGAACTATATCACAAACCATTTCCTATAATCTCTTCTAGCATTTTGAAAAAATACAAACAATTATGTTTTTAGTAGGAATATCACAATTTAATGTTGTCATTTTCTTTGTTGGTTGCTAGGGGAAGCTATACAGTTGTCAGGTTTTTACTAGGACTGTTATACAACAGTTTTCTCTCGTTCTTTTGTGTGTATGACAAAACAGCTAGTTCAGGACAAGAAATAACACTCCCACTTCAAAGTGTGATGTCACAACAGGACAAAAGTGTTACAACATGATGAAATAGGGGAAATCTTAATGCTGCGATGACAAAACGAAATTAAAAAGGAACACAATTTATTAGCTGTCTAAATCACAAAAATTATAGTGAAATGGATTATTGCTCAATCAGACCAACTGAGCTTATCCTGGTGATTGAAACAACAGAAAAATAATCTTTCATGCCCAGGGGTGTAGAAAAGCAAAATTGCATCCTCAGGATTTTCAATATGGGGCTAAACTCTCGGCAAGCCTCGGTTTTATCAAATTTGAAAACCCTTAGATGGAATTTTCCCTATCCTACACGTACCACTGAACATGAAAGATATTTTTTTGTCCTATTATCAATCAGGAATGTTTAATACAATTGATAGATTAAACTCCTTCGGAAGAAATGTTACAAAGCTATCATATCGTTCCCTAATTAAATGATTGAATACATAACAAAGTCAACTCAGGCTGAATCATTGCTGTTCTAGTACACAGATAATGTCATCAGCCAGCAATATACTGGGGACAAACCCCGCTAATATGCTAATGGAAAGCAATTATCATTTCTAGATTAAAATCTCATTCGCCATACAGCACTTATTTTGATTACTAAAGATGCATCAATGTAAACAGATTTTTGTTACATAATAACAACATTGTAACGTCGAGTCGTCGGCCAATCCAAGGTATTTCAAGTAACGAGATACAACCAGGATGTAATTGCTAACGTAGATAAATGGGTAAAATTATGATTGCTCCGACACAAGGCTACACTTCACTGAACTGTTGTACTTACCACACGTTATTATATCCAGTACTTACCACACGTTATTATATCCAGTATGATTGCTCCGACACGAAGCTACACTCCACTGAACTGTTGTACTTACCACACGTTATTATATCCAGTATGATTGCTCAGACACAAGGCTACACTGAACTGTTGTACTTACCACACGTTATTATATCCAGTATGATTGCTCAGACATGAGGCTACACTCCAATGAACTGTTGTATTTACCACACGTTATTATATCCAGTATGATTGCTCAGACACAAGGTTACACTGAACTGTTGTACTTACCACACGTTATTATATCCAGTATGATTGCTCCGACACAAGGCTACACTCCACTGAACTGTTGTACTTACCACACGTTATTATATTCAGTATGATTGCTCCGACACAAGGCTGCACTCCACTGAACTGTTGTAGTTACCACACGTTATTATATCCAGTATGATTGCTCCGACACAAGGCTACACTCCACTGAACTGTTGTACTTACCACACGTTATTATATCCAGATGAAACATGTTCACACTCCAGCAGTCTAGTTTGGTCATCAAGCACTGACAAACAAGACATTGTTTAATTATACTCAATTCATATGGTAAAACAATACAATGTATGCGTGTCCATATTAAATCCACAAAAACATATAACAAAACCCAGTAAGTTCCTTCAATGAGTATGGTTTTATTTTTGACAGGAGACTGATACTTGAATACTGATTCTTAAAGAGACTGATCATTGTCAATGTGATCATTGATAGAAGAGAACTCTTAATTAAATGATTAATTATCATTGATTTGAATGTACATTAACCAAATTTGAATCTTGAGTAATTATTGATGGACAACAGATCACTGATGGGTGACTGTGATCACTGATGGGTGACTGTGATCACTAATGTGTGACTGTGCTCAATGATGGGTGACTGTGATCACTGATGGGTGACTGATCACTGATGGGTGACTGTGATCAATGATGTGATGGGTGACTGTGATCACTGATGGGTGACTGTGATCACTGACGGGTGACTGTGATCACTGATGGGTGACTGTGATCACTGATGGGTGACTGTGTCACTGATGGGTGACTGTGATCAATGATGTGATGTATGACTGATCACTGATGGGTGACTGTGATCAATGATGGGTGACTGTGATCAATGATGGGTGACTGTGATCTATGATGGGTGACTGTGATCACTGATGGGTGACTGTGATCACTGAAGGGTGACTGTGATCACTGATGGGTGACTGTGATCACTGATGGTGACTGTGATAAATGATGGGTGACTGTGATCACTGAGATTAATATTCAAAATGAAATTGATCGTTGATGGGAGAATGATCGCTCATGAGTGACAGTGATCATTGTACCTACCTGTGCTTGTTTGCTATACAGCTGGTCCAACAACGAGTTACTGGCTTGTGTCATTTTAAGGATTGGACGATGGCGTCGTCTTGTTTTATGCAAACTTTGAAATCTGGATCCCCATCGTATTTTGTAGTCTTTGGACGATACCTCTGTAATAATTTGTTTCTAAATCTTATTATATTAGTCAAACCTAGTTAGTTGAGAATTCGGGTTTAAGTCTACAAATGTTAATTTTTGTGCTTTAAATGTTTCTTATTTTATATAATATGCAATTGACTGTTGGAACATATTATTGCTTTATCATGAATTTCTCTCTTGAATATATGTTTCCTATATTTGGTCTGTACTGATGTATACAAAATGATACACTGATATAAGAACATTGTTTTGATGGTTCACTTGTCCACTATTCCGTCTTTGCGTATTGCAGAGTTATCTTCTCTTGGGAGCAGGGATTGATTGTTACATCATTGGTTTGTGTGAGAAAATTATGTTGTTTTCTCAAAAATTGATGACGTTACTCTCACAAACAAGTGACGTAACAATCAATACCTGCTCCCAAGAGAAGATAACTCTGCAATACGAAAGACCGAATCTAGCTATCGGAGTTTGAACTCACTGTCCAAGAGCTTGAGATCAGACACAGCCACAGCATTAGTCCGGCGTTCTGGGTAGCATTCCAGCTTGGATTTCATCTGGACATCGCCTACAACAAACAGATATAAAAGTGTGAATTAACTTAACAAGAGCTCTTTAGGGCCTGTAATGCTCATCTCATCTTGAAAGAAAAGAAACAATTTGAACAGAGAAATACAAACCTTGTAGATTTTTTTGATTTTTTTTTTTTAATATATATATTTTTGAATATCTCTTTATTAAATTCTATAAAAAAAAAAATCAAATTGTAAATTGGGTTGAATATCAGTCCCAAATACATAGACAATAATCCTCTGTAAACATAATTACTGATCTCTAAATAAGTAAGAACATCCAGATAAATTACTATGTGCAAAGGGTTTCTCAATTTCTTAGATGTTTCATGGATTTTATCCTGTTAACACAGTATGCTCTGATATACAATGGACGTAACCCATGAAGCGGATACTCATAAACAAACATCTCTCAACAATAGCTATTACATAGAATTGCGAGATGTTTTCTAACTATATATGTATCTACTTTACAACGACCCTCCTACTGGGGTTTGCTTTGTTAGTGTTTTTACGTCCTATTAACGGCTATGGTCATTTAAGGACCTGCCAGGTTTTGGTGGTAGAGGAAAGCCAGAGTTCCCGGAGAAAAAACACCGACCTATGTCCAGTACCTGGCAACTGCCCCACGTAAGTCTCGAACCTGTGACCCAGTGGTGGAGGGCGAGTGGTAGCAGAATGTTCGACGCCTTAACCACTTGGCCACCGCGGCCCCCTACTGCTGGGGATGAAGGCAAGGCATATCAAGGATTAGTACAGTTAACTACTAAGAACTCTGTTTCACATAAAAGACAAAAAACATTTGTACCAAGAACAAATTTCATGAATGAAAAATGTTCTATAGATTTGGGACTTTCAACATAACCATTCAAGGGGGTATTATACTAGCCACAACCTCAGTATGTACGTCTGCTACATTATGTACTACCCACCCATCCTGAAATTTTACGACCTCCCTTGGGAGGCCCATGGACCTGCATGACCAGCATGCTATTTGAAGGCAGATACAGTCATTATGATAAACTTCAAAGATACATTACTTAGACATTTTTAAGTTGCCTTCTTAATAAAATTCTATATAACCACCAGATTCTATTGCAAAGCCTGCGTTGTCAAACTCTGGGCCCCGTCTGTCATGTGGCAACCTCTGATCGGAACAAAGAAGGAGCAGAGCTCATCTCTGGTCTGCTAAGAAAGCAAAGCCAGAGAATGATATAGGCTGCATCCCTGAATGAAGTCGAAAGAAAATTTGCAATCAACTGAACAGATCAATCTCTCTTTAAATGCACCAATCACAGAAAATGCATCCTCTTTATTGGTCGACAGAAGAAGATGAATATCACACAGAAACACAGAAACACCTGTCTGAATGAAATATCCTAAATGTATGAAGGTGGAAGATCTGAGATCTGCCAGGCAGAGGATAATCAAAAGCAGATCTTCAGTGGGAGGCAGAAACAGAGGCTCACCCACCAGAAGAGATAGACCTTAAAGAAGTCTGCCTTGGCCACAATTTAAACAATTGGAAGAGCTATAAGAGATCAAGAAAGCTCTAAAAACTTCTAAAGAGCAAAAGCAAGTCAGGAAATTAACTTCCTTTCTTGTCACTAAACTGTTCCTACTGTGTAAGTGCAGTAGAAGGCTCCCAGAGTGTATGCTTAGCTTTTTTAATAACAGGTCTGTTATGAATCCTTCGAGGGACAAGAATGACTTGTGTATGGCTTTTCAAACAGACCTATGGCTACGGAATCTTCCTTCAGATCACAACCTAGTTCGTAGGTCGTCTCAAAGCGGTTCCCAACTTATTATCCGTGATTATACGGCCTTTTGCAAACAGCCAATATCTTTCTCAACTCCCTTGGGAGTATACAACCAGTGCTGCCATTTTGGCGCTCGAAGCTTAAAGCATTCAACAATTCTAGCACTGCCCAACCACATACTCATTTACAGCTGTTTAGACTGAATTCAAGTATCTTGCTCAAACAGACAACACAGTGCTGTGACTTGAACCCGCAACCCTTCGGTCATGAGCCCAGCATCCTACCACTAGACTACCGTGCCTCTCTGTTTAAGACTCACTATCTTGTTAAACCTGAAGAATTAGAATGAGGCAAGAACTGGAAAGCATGGAGCACAGCTGCCACCATTTTCTAAGCACATTTAGGGCCTGCATGTCCTGTTTACTGTTGTTGAAGATCTGACAAAACATATAACAATGCCATGAAAAAGTTCATAATAGACAAGGCCTCAAGACAGAGGCACAACATCCTTTCCATCTTTTGTTGTTCCTTGGCCTGGAAAACCACCTGTTTCACAAGCTTCCCAAACCAGGAGGTTTTTATGCAACAGTAGCTTATACTCATTCACCCCTGACATTTCATAATGAACTATTCCAAGCTTTTGAATTGGAAGAGTTCAAATTTGTGTTCAGGGGTGAATGAGTTATTGTGTTCCGGGGTGAATGAGTTATTGTATTCAGGGGTGAATGAGTTATTTTGTTCAGGGGTGAATGAGTTAATGTCTGATTTCTAGCATAGTTGGATGAAGTGCTAGTACAAGTATTAATTGACTATTTATAAATTTAAAAAAAAAAAAGGTATTCTGTTTATCAACATTGCAAAAGTGATCTTTTAATGACCCCAACCTCCAGAGAAGCTGCACCCCTTTTATATAGACCATCCATGAGAGAAACAGAAATGGTCTAAATAGATATTAACTGGTAATAAACAAAATCCTCATATAAGGAAATGAACCAGTCAGGAAATTTCTTAATAAGTAGCATACAGTGTGCGTGAACTGTTTGTCTCTAAGGCAGGTCGGAATGTATTTGCCTGGCAACTTTATAATATTATAACCTATTATGAAAAGATTCTTGTAACACAAAAAGATTCTTGTAACACAACCAATCTATAATAATAAACACTTATTGGTTGTGTCACAAGAATCTTTTTATAATCCATAATTACCAATCAGAAGAAAATGTCTAGAAATAGCATTATAACCATACACTAATTATGATATACCACATGCTAAAATGGTAAGATTTCAGTCCATGGAAATCTAGTTCATATGTCCATGTGCTTGCACTTGGAGCCCTTTTATTGTGAAGTATATGTACTGCATGGTTGATTTGGTTGTTTATGTGATGTCAGCTGGCATTGTGGTAGGTTCACAGGTATGTAGTGAATGACGTCAGTAGACTTATCCACTTTACAGATTTACTATGGCCCTGACTGATAGGCTGAGCTTACCATTATCTGTGTATTTGTCTATACACACCGTTTGTGGCCTTTGTGATACACACAGAGCACCTGCCAGTACCCTTGTTACTAGACCTGATTAACATCATCAGTCCAGGAGGATTTGTGTACATGGTGTGTGTGTGTGTGTTTGTCACAACCTGGTCAAGTGCAAATGGCCTTAATGAACAGACATCGTCACAAGTACATGTATATCAATAATTTTCATATAATTCATGTGCCTATAGCTAGAGTGGCTATCAATTTCTGAAGCCTTTTATCAGTAACATAACAGCCTATTATCAACAAAATTCACAATTTTTGTGCGTTTTATCACATTCACAACAAATGCAGATTTCTGTACATTTTATCATATCATTGAATCTCGGTTTCCTGTTCCCTTTAGCACAAACATTTATATTTTCTCAAGCACAACCTGAAATGATAACCTGCCAACACTGCTCCGGGGGTCCGAAGGCTGGAACTGATATTTACACAGAAATCCTCCCTAAACACATCAGTACCACAGTCACATTTTGTTTTTATTCAGTTTTTTTAATAAGTTACACATTTATTTAGAAATAATTACAGCAAAACATCCAACAAGAGGCAAAGATTACAGTTCTTTTTATAGATACAGTAAATAACCATACTTAACAGACAAGAGGATCAAGATTACACAGGTTTATATAGATAAAGCCAGACATCCAACTAAAAGGTCCAGATTACACAGGTTGATATAGATATACCAGACATCCCACTAGATGGTCCAGATTATTAAGGTTTATATAGATATAGCCAAACATCCAACTAAAAGATCCAGATTACACAGGTTTATATAAATACAGCCAGACATCCAACTAGATGGTCCAGATTACACAGGTTTACATAGATACAGCCAAACATCCAACTGAAAGGTTCAGATTATACAGGTTTATATAGATACAGCCAGACATCCAACTAGATGGTCCAGATTATACAGGTTTACATAGATACAGCCAGACATCCAACTAGAACATCCAAATTACACAGGTTTATATAGATACAGCCAGACATCCAACTAGATGGTCCAGATTACACAGGTTTATATAGATACAGCCAAACATCAAACTAAAAGGTTCAGATTATACAGGTTTATATAGATACAGCCAAACATCCAACTCGATGGTCCAGATTACACAGGTTTATATAGATACAGCCAAACATCCAACTAAAAAGTTTATATAGGTTTATATAGATATACCAGACATGCAACTAATAGGTTCATATTACACAGGTTTACATAGATATACCAGACATCCCACTAGATGGTCCAGATTATACAGGTTTATATTGATACAGCCAAAGATCCAACTAAAAGGTCCAGATTACACAGGTTTATATAGATACAGCCAGACATCCCACTAGAACATCCAAATTACACAGGTTTATATAGATAAAACCAGACATCCAACTAGATGGTTCCAGATTATTAAGGTTCATACATATACATGTATAATTGGACATCTAACTAGAAGGTCCAGATTGCACTGGTTTTACAGATAACGCCAGATATCTTACTCTAAGTATGTTCAGAAATAAATTACACAGGATTTTATAGATACAATTGGACATCATACCTAAGATGGTCAAGATCACACAAGTTTATATAAAATATATAGAACATTTCCAACACTGAATGTCTTAATACATGTGCAAAACGGGAGCAACACAGGCTAACAATTCAAAAATATTCTATACTGATTACACTCAGTATGAACAAGTCAGTCACGTAAGCTGACAATGCTTATACTTCCTTAAAGACTAACTATACACAGTGTAAACAGGAGCCACACAAGCTAACAATGCTCAACACTTATACACAGACTAACTATGCACAGTGTAAACAAGAGCCACACAAGCTAACAATGCTCAACACTTGTACACAGACTATACGAAGCCAAACAAGCTTACAATGCTCAACACTTACACAATAAAACTAACTATACACAATGTCAATTGAAGTTGACAATGCTGAAGCAGATTCCCATAAATTTGGCATTGTAATAGTTACAATTGTTTGTAACTGGTTCTTATTATCAGTTTTTACACAGTTGAAACTTAGCCTGGAGTAATAAAAAGCCACAGACACGTACAGAAATGATGTTTACAAAACGCTTCTTGTTATTTTTTAAGCAAAATCTATATTACTTCCACTTGCTATTTTTATCCACCGACATTTCTACAAAAGCTGTTTATGTATCCACAGAATGAATGTTTGTTTTGAATCAGTTTGTATCGACTAGAAGCTCCAGTTTTGTGATGATAGGGAGGATGGTGATGCTAATGATATTGACAAGGATGACGATTTGATATTCTACTGTGTGTTTATCATACTGAATAAATAGGTTTGCTTATGTATTATATATATGCCATTTATCCAACGTTAAGTACAGCCATTCTTCTTCCGTTGAATATCCAATAAGTTGCACAACTTAGGAATGTATATAACTGTTATGACAATAAACTGTTAGCAACAAACTTATACACAAAATCTTATAAAACCGTTACTGTTAAGGTACAAACAGTATTGATATATATATATCATGCATTAGAATGGGCTACCAGTTTCTTATGAAGAATTTTCCAGCTGCATTTTATTACTAGCTTATCTCCCCCTAGTTTGAAAACTAGAATCTGACATTCAAGTGATTAAAAGTGTTTGAGGTTATTTTTTCTGAACACTTCAATATTCATGAGAAGGGGGCTAACCTATCCCTGCATCTGACCAGCCATTTTTTTTATCTAAAAGGTTAGCCCTTCAGTTTCTTATCTTCAATATAAACCATTCACCTTAAAATTTGTCTATATTTTGTCTAAATTACTCATACTTCATCTTAAATATTAGTCAAGTTTTAAATGTAAAACCATTATCCATTATTAAACAGTAGAGTTAGGTAATCTTATATAATTAACATAAGCTATAAGTTTGATGCAAACATATTTTTTTACTGAAACGTTAATAACGGCTTGTCTTAAACATCAGCTAAGTTTTAATATTGTTTATTAAACATATAGCCACGAATTAGGTAAAACAGTAGCATTTTCCTTCATCTTAATTAACTCATTCAACCCTAGAGACACATTTGAACCCTTCCAATTCAAAGGTTGGAATAGTTCATAATGAAATTTCAGGGGTGAATGAGTTAACATAAGTTCATAATGCTTGATGTTAAACAGGAATGCCCATTTTTACCCAAGTTTAATTAACATAAGTATAATGCTATATTTAGCCATGTTGTACTTATACCTGCATATACCTTCAATGTACAGCAGCATTAACAAGGCTTCACATGAAACATAAATCATTTATTATATTAAAGTGCAAAGGAGCCTGTTCTGTAAGTGGATGCTAATTCAGACATTGGCAGAAAGATGCTCCGACTTCTAGACAGCTTCCTATAGCACTGGCTACATACATATCACTGCCTTGAAATAGCTTATGATATCATGCAGGCTGCAGAATTTTGGACTGATACTCAACTTCACAGGTTGTAATTTGTTGCAGTATATATACATTAACTATAGAATGTACGCCGATCACGAACAATATGCAGGGGATGCTTATTAGTTACAAAACAAATTTCCTAGTACATGTACGCCTAATGGCCATAGTCTGTATGGGTACAGATGGTAATGATAGATTGAAGGGATAGACATTCAACTCATTTAAACATACCTAAGATGCCACAAGATACTGTATGCCTCCTGTGATCTAGAGATCCCTCCAAAGTGTTGGCACACTCTATAACACTGGATACCTCAGCACTGCACATCTACTCCAACGTAAGTGCAGCCACTGTTATTCCGTTGACCTCCACAATTCCGGATCTTTGCTTACAGAATGTATCTTAAGTTTCCTTACACTTTCTCTTTGTTGACATAAGAAACAAAGGTATATTCTTACTGACAGAAAAAATATAACATTGTTTCCTTCTCTTGCAGCAGATTATAATCCCTAGGTGTAAGGGAATACACTGACCAAGTCATTAGCACACTTTTGACCCTTGGGTCAGTCACATATGCTAGCTGACCATACGGCTACATACACTCATATATCCAGAGTTCACCTACTCCCAGGTAATGATGACCGATGTCCCGGTTGTCAATGTGTCAAAGATTCATCACTATAACAAGTCTGACCAGTACAAGACAGGCTAGTCTTAGTCTGATCAAGGTCAGTCTCCCAACCAATGGTTACTACTCAGGTCAGTCCAGCCAACAGATGTGTAGTACTGATAGGACCTAATGTAGTATGTCCGAGTCCAGTTTACTGGACATCACACGATTGGACAAACAGGTGAAGGGCAGCACCTGATGGGTTTAGTTGTCCCGACCAATGTGATTACTACATTGCATATGAGGCCCTATCAGTTCTATCTTGCCTATAGGTACACATTTGTCGGTTATCACGTATTGGTCCTTAGCCCATCTATGACGTACATACAGGCACTGCTTACTGCATTGTAGTATTTTCATGCCTGACAATCAAACGGCTCCATGAAAGATAACAAAACCTACACACATTACACCCGACAACCCAGCTAACGACCCATGTGTAATAGGCCCGTATGTGTAATAGCAGATCCCCACCACAGCATTGGGGTTACAATAGAGGGCCCATTGTTCTTACAGCAGGTTTAAATATCATACAGTGCATTATTACATTCAAATAGGTCACACAATTACTACATTGGCTGCTTACCACAAATCTTTTGTGCGGTTTTACAGATCAGGGTCACATCACGGCAGATAGATACAGGTCACACAATATTTACTTTTCAGGTGGATTCTCTGTATAATTCTCCTGTTAAAAGTTTTGTTTATTGATAGTTTTTACCATATAAGGGCCATTAAAAGACACTGAAGTACATTTCATGATTGCATAGTTCACAGGAGGCAACAGCAAAGTGCGTACATTTCATTAACAAGTTTGAAATACATTTAATAAAACCTTTGAAAGTTACCAAAAATAAATGATCCCTGAAAAAACCTGATGATGTAAAAAATTAAAACGTCCAAAATATAGAAAATAAATCACTGTAAAAAATGACACTAAAAACATTCAAAGTTTTCAGGTGGGATTCTGACACTGGGGGTACAGCATAACTATCAAAGCTGAAACAGTTACACATTAATGGTAAGCTTAAATTCATACTTGTATGTCAGTGAATTTGTTTTTTGAAAGGTTATTCAATATTTAGACAAGAAGATAATAACAATCACCATTTTTAAAAGGAAATTTATATTTGGATTTGATTTTTCTACAATCTTAATTAAAACTGAAATAGCCTTCAATTTCCACAAAACATTCTATTTTACTAATCTTCAAAATTACTTATTTACTTCATAATTTTCCTGTCTTTAGATATTTTATCAAGGCTACCTCAGTACTCCTATTATGTATCAAAATAATATGCAAAAACTGTCCAAACCATAAATATCTATATAATGTATTCAATTACCAAATTTTATACTTACTCTATGATTTATCACTTATAAAGAAACTCATACTCAAGATATGTAGTAGATGCACATTAAAGACATAAATGTACACTTTAAGGAGATAACTTTCTATTGGCCAAGGTTTTGGCTACAAACAACCAATACACATATTTGTGATACCGTTCTACACCGGTATAGTACAAGTACTGTGATGGAAATTTGATTTTTTTATCATGCACATTAAAGACATAAATGTATATACACTTTAAGGAAATAACTTTCTATTGGCCAAGGTTTTGGCTCCAAACAACCAATACACATATTTGTGATACCGTTCTACACCGGTATAGTACAAGTACTGTGATGGAAATTTGATTTTTTTATCATGCACATTAAAGACATAAATGTATATACACTTTAAGGAAATAACTTTCTATTGGCCAAGGTTTTGGCTCCAAACAACCAATACACATATTTGTGATACCGTTCTACACCGGTATAGTACAAGTACTGTGATGGAAATTTGATTTTTTTATCATGCACATTAAAGACATAAATGTATATACACTTTAAGGAAATAACTTTCTATTGGCCAAGGTTTTGGCTCCAAACAACCAATACACATATTTGTGATACCGTTCTACACCGGTATAGTACAAGTACTGTGATGGAAATTTGATTTTTTTATCATGCACATTAAAGACATAAATGTATATACACTTTAAGGAAATAACTTTCTATTGGCCAAGGTTTTGGCTCCAAACAACCAATACACATATTTGTGATACCGTTCTACACCGGTATAGTACAAGTACTGTGATGGAAATTTGATTTTTTTATCATGCACATTAAAGACATAAATGTATATACACTTTAAGGAAATAACTTTCTATTGGCCAAGGTTTTGGCTCCAAACAACCAATACACATATTTGTGATACCGTTCTACACCGGTATAGTACAAGTACTGTGATGGAAATTTGATTTTTTTTTTTAATTGTAATTAATAACCTCAGTACATGTATGTACATAACAGTTGGCAGTCTATAGGGATATTCTTAACATCTGCTTGTCTTAAGACTGTTGAAATGAACATGTCAAGAATGCACCCCAGAACAATGTGAAGGTTGACAGACTGGAATATTAATACTGTACATCAGATAATGTAGCCGAACACAAACCTGGTGAAACAGTGCTGGAGCAGTTAAAATATTGGTTAGTCACCTACTTTTGGTGCATGACATTTCACCATCCCAAAATCTGTTTATCAAATTAATCAACTCCAGATAGGCCCACAACAAAACATTTTTAATGATTGGTGTCAGAGGTCAAAACATAAGTCGCAATTATCTACTTTTGATAAAAAGAAAAACACTCAGAAATCCAAAAATGAACTTCATACATGTATTAAATTTGTTGACTCCAGGTGAAAAGGTATAGGCCGATACAGAAAATGATTTTAGGATGGAATGCAGATGGTGTGCAACTAAAAGTTTAGTTAACATATTTCTAAACAATTTCTTCAGGTTGGTCAGTTTGAATAGTAGAACCTTTTCTAATAAAGGTTAAGTTCCCTTCAGTAGTATTGGTGGTTCATAAAGTATATTAACTTGAAGTTATGTAACAAGAGGTCAAGTATGCATACCTCTATGAAATATAGTAGACAGCAAAAGTTCAAAATTCCATAAAGTGATTTTGTATATTCAAGTTTTTCAAGAAGTTTCCTGATATCTTTTAATTAAAAAGTTAATTTAGTACAGGTTTATTTCCAAACGTAAATATAGCCTTTGCATTTTAATACATTTACCAAGAAAATCATAACTAGAACTGTAAGCCAAAGGCTAACTAATACCCCCGCTCCTATATAAACCAGAACTGTGTGCTAATTAAAAGCTTACTTATGCAAAGCCATATAGTCTCCCACCAGTAATGATTTATGATAATCACTATTTTATTAAGATCAAAAAAAATAAACAAGTATTTCGCACAAAGGAGCATAACTCCATCAAAAAGGGTTGAAATTCCAAATTAAAATGCCAGTCCGCAACAACATAAGATACCGATCATTCATGTAAAGTTCCAATGAAATCCACCTGTTAGTTAAGGAGGAGTTGCACGGACAAGTATTTTGCATAAAGGGGCATAACTCCAACAAAAAGGATCGAAATCCCAAATTAAAATGCCGGTGCACAACTACATAAGATACGGATCATTCATGCAAAGTTTCAATGAAATCCACATGTTAATTAAGGAGGAGTCTTCCGGACAAGTATTTTGCAAAAAGGGGCATAACCCCATCAAAAAGGGTTGAAATCCCAAATTAAAATGCTGATGCACAACTACATAAGATACCGATCATTCATGCAAAGTTTCAATGAAATCCACCTGTTAATTAAGGAGGAGTTTTCCAGACAAGTTACTGCAGACGACATCCAGACATCCAGACAGACAGACATCCAGACGGTGATTCCAGTATACCCCCCTAACTTCGTTGCGGGGGTATAATAATAATTTGGTATGTTATAGTCTAATTGTTTTACAGCTATATACAAATGCACTAGCTGTTCAGAGTATACATATTTGTTGTAAAAACATGAATGTAAAATAAAAGTCTGTCGATAAAGAATAGTCAGTTGTCTGGTAAATTGTGCCAAATGTTTGCCTTACCTGCGTGTACCTAGATGTCAATATCATGTATCCAACGGGTAGAAATAATTATGTGACATTAACTCTGACTGAGTTCCCTTGGCCAATGACTTGTATAACGATTGCTTGATAGGGATAAAGGGATATTATTGACTACAATCGGCTCCCATCAGGACAATTAGCACCTTGTTCGGTAGGAGATCACCAGTAAAGGAGAAACAGGCAGGTGAAAATATGATAATTAGTACCTATACCTATAGATATTGTATAAGTCTGGCTTATTGTTATCAGAACAGTTCAATGTGTTTGGCTTTATGAAGGTTTTAGATATGGGTAACACAAGGAATGGTATTGGTGGTTTTTTTCCAATATATAAATGTAACAGGTCAATTGTCAAGTGTGTGACCTTTTAAGGGGTCAAAGTTCAATAAGGAAAATTAGGACACTGACCTGAAACAATTTTCTTAAACTCTACCAAGCTAATTTCAAACTGCTAGGTACAAATGTTCTTGCAAACAATCATCAAGAAGTGTATTTCTTTTCTAGATAGAATCAAAATCCAAGATGGCCACCATGGCTTCTAACTTACAGCTTACACGGGAAGGTCTGTAACTTTTGTACCTTAGAAATGCTTTAGTGGTTATCATTCAATTTAATAGCAATAATATGTATCAAATATGGCTTTTGAAATTCTATATCAGCCAAATTGCAGTTACATTTGAACATGGAAATCCCAGCAATTTATCCTGATTCAGATACAATCATACATACCAAGCATTCTGACGTAGATGGCATTCTTGTCTTTTCTATCAAAGGAAATCCCTCCTCGTCTCTGAAACAGAAAATAAATACACATGTAAAACACTGCATAACATTATCTTAGTACTAAATTAACAGCTGTACCGAAGGGAAAACCTGACTGTAATAAACAACTTGAAAATGTTATAATATTGCAAGTTTCAATGCCAGGTTATTGCATTCTGTAAACACAATACAGTAATATAGCAGGTCACCACACCTGTATAGGTACAACTCTAACACGGTAAAATAGCAGGTCACCACACCTGTATAGATACAACTCTAACGCAGTAATATAGCAGGTCACCACACCTGTATGGGTACAACTCTAACACAGTAATATAGAAAGTCACCACACCTGTATAGGTACAACTCTAACACGGTAAAATAGCAGGTCACCACACCTGTATAGATACAACGCTAACACAGTAATATAGCAGGTCACCATACCTGTATAGGTACAACTCTAACACAGTAAAATAGCAGGTCACCACACCTGTATAGATACAACGCTAACACAGTAATATAGCAGGTCTCCATACCTGTATAGGTACAACTCTAACACAGTAGTATACCAGGTCACCACACCTGTATAGAGATAACTCTAACACAGTAATATAGCAGGTCACCACACCTGTATGGGTACAACTCTAACA